CCTCCAGAGCTGACCCAGGAGCTACAAGCACGTGAGTCATGAACACACAGGCCCCTGGGAGCAGCCAGGGGACTGCCTCCTCCTGGAAGTCCGACGGCATCCTGCACCACCGATAAACTCCTACAGTCACCAGCGTGCACGAGACAGGTGCGCGGGACCCTCGCTCACCTCGCATGGTTCTCAGCCAGTCCACGTTGGAGGCCTCCAGCTCCTCCGGGTCTGTGACGACCCTCCCGGGGACAATGCGCTCAAAGGAGGCCAGGTCTTCCTCAGACACCTCGGAGAAGGGCAGCCGCCGCACGGGGTAGCGCTCGCAAGTCAGCGCCACCTCGGGGCCCCGGGAGGATGGGGAGGAGCTGCCTCTGCGAACCGCGGGACCGCCGCCCGCGAGCCCCCGAGGGCTGACGCCCGGGGGGACCCTGGACGCCCCGTTCCCGGTGCTTGGCTGCCCGTAGGCCCCGGGAGTGCGGGCCGCTCGCCACCAGAAGAGCCGTGACGGCCACCCGGGCGACAGACGGGGCACCATAGCTCTTGTCCTGAAAAGCAAGTGAGCGGCCCTGTAACCCTGGACCAGCGGGGGCCGCGAAGGAAGTGACTGCCCCGGGAAGGGCGCAGGGTTAGGGAGGTGGAAAGGGAGGGCAGGCCGGGGGGCATGGGGCGGGAGACCCCGGCCCGCGATGGGGGGGGGGGGTCCCCCTGCAGGAAGCGCCTCCCGACCAGGGCGCAGCCGCCCTGGGCTTCAGCCCCCTTCCTTCGGGGCAGAACCAGGATTCGAGGCGTTCAAAGGAGAGGGGCGACTGCCACTAAGCGGCACCCTTAAGAACGGCTAAAGTGGCCAACTTTGTTTTACGTATATGATACCGCAGGTTTAAACAGTGCAGAAGCAGAACGCGTGGGTGAGGGAGCCGCCCTGGCTGCCCACGTGGCTCCGCACGGGGACTCCGCTCCGCACCGCACCGCACCGCACCGCACCGGTGGGAGGGGACAGGTGTCGGGCGGCTACCTCCGCCCTCTGCCGCTCTGACCACCGCAGCGCCGTCTGGGAGGCGCTCCCGCCGCTGTGTGACCTCAGAAAAGGCGCCCCCAGCAGGGCCCCCCGCGGCGCCCCCCGCCCCAGGGGACCAGCTACCCGCCCCGGCCCTTCACGTCAGGACGGACCGAGAATGCGGCCGGGGCCGCTCGGAGGGCGCAGAGCGCGCTCAGGCTCGTCCCCGCGAGAACCGCCGGGCGCGCGCGCCCGAGTGGTCACGTGACAGACGCCGCCAGACAGGGTCGGCCCCGCAAACAGCGCCTGCGCTCCCGGCCCTGCGCCTCCGCCACCACGGCCGCCGCTCTGTCCCGCAGCCCGCGGCCCTTCCGCTCAAACCCTGGCGGACACGCGCGCGCGCACTCACGCACGCGTCCCCGTCCTGGGCGCTGCGGCCGGCGTCGTCCTCGAGAAACCGGAGCCCCAGGGCCCAGGGCGGGCAGGACTGAGCCTGCGCGAGGCGGCCCTCGCTGCCACGCCCTCCCCAGGGGCCCGCCCAGGTCCTCAAGCTCCGCCCCCTCTGTCCGTCCCCTGTCTCAGGCCCCGCCTCCGGTTCCGAGGAGTGCCCCCTGAGCCCCGGCGCTCCGCAATGCCACAGCCCGCTGCGGAGGCAGCGGGCCTCGACCGGCGTCCTGCACCTCCCAGGTGGGGCCTCGACATACACTTCCCGTCCCGAGGGCCGGACCCACCGCGGTCCGCCCGGACGAGCCTCACAGGGTAATAACTGCCCACTCCCTCCTCCTACTGCGGGCCTCCAAGGGACTCTGGCTCCCGCTCTGGCCAAAGGGCAGACATCCCTGCGGGTCGGGAGTGTTTTGCAGGCCGAACCCGAGCTAGTTCCCAAAGCTGCCCGCCAAGCAGCGGCATCATTCTCCTGAACAGAGGTACTGGCCTGGGACGGGGCTGCTGGAGGCCACAGCAAGACAGCTGCCTTCTCCAGCACCTCGAGTTGTCTGCCTGCCCCTGTCCAGCTGCACGCTCAGCTCCAGCCTGGCCTCTGCTCTGTAGGTCCTGCTAGGCTCCACCACCGGCACAGGGGAGACACGGCGGCGGGAGGAAGGCACCTCTGGCATCCCAGGGATGGCTCTTAGCAGCACCTGTGCCAGGTAGCAACCTCAACCCATTCCCTCAGGGTGCTGCAGCAGCCCAGGAGAACCCTTCCCCCAGAGGCCTGAGTCCCAGCTCCCATGGGGCACCCCTCTCAGAGCTACCGCGGCACCAGCAAGGTTGCACCCACTTCCCCAGTGGCTGAATCTCGGCTGAAGGGCACTTTCCCCATCAGTTGTGGGGCCAGCCCCCCTCAGAGCAGAGTCCTTATCTGTCCCCTCCCGCATATTGCCAGGTCCAGAAACTCCGCCTTCCTCCCTTGGCCTCCTTGGAGGCAGCTGCTTCCTAAGATTACTGTTCCCTGGACCCCCGGTACCCTAAATTAAACTGTTACAGTAACACTTGGCTTCTACTCTCCTGATACAGATCCAGGCACGGAGTAGGGTCCACCCCTCACCCGCGGCTCCCCTGGGTCCCACTGAGGCGTCTCCAGTACCTGTCTGCTCTTCCAGCTCCACGATGTCCCAATGACAAGTGTCTGTGGACAGATGATTACAGACGGCAAGCGCGTCCACGTAACCCTGACTGAAGACCAAGGTCCACTGATGGCTTTGCCAAGAACAGACCAGTCCTTGCCAGACCACTGGCCTCGTGCTGTGTGCCCTGAGTGTGCCGATGTGCTCCTGTAACAGGGTGCTGCCAAGGGGGTCCCCCAAATAGGGACTTGTAATGGGGTCCAGAATTCAGGGTGTTCAGGAAATATTAGAGAATAATACGTATAGGATGTCCTCACCCCTTCCCACCAGGCTGAGCTGGGGGATGGGACACGTGGAGCAGGGCCACTGAGAGCTGTTTTGCACAGGCACAGCTTTGCAGCTGACCGCTGGCATGGTCGTTTAACACATCTGCAGCCTTTAACTGGTTTCATGGATATGTTAAACAGCTGTGGCCACGCTCTGAGCCAGGGGCATGGGAGTGACTCCCACCCAGGTTGTGTAACTGGGAGGCAACTCCCCCTGGCTACAGCGCCTGCGTGAGAGCTTGGAGCTGATTGGCCCCACGCCACGGGCCACAGCTGTGCGCACTCACTGCGGCAGCCCAGGAAAACTGGACGAATGCGGGAATGCTGGCAGGTGTGACTGATTGTGGGCGGAGCCGGAAGAGGGGCTGCAGAGGAGGATTGGCGCTGGGATTTAAACCCAGGCGTGGAGGCCATGCAAGGGGGGACCCTGCGGCCTGGGCCAGAGTTAGGGAGCACACAGCTTGGGGGTGCTCCCTTTTGCCACGTGGGTTAGGCAGCAGGAGAGACTTTGCCTGGAAGAAAAGGGGTGAAAGGCTCTTGCTGGCGGACCACGAGAAGGTGCCACGTGGCTCGGGATTAACTGGAGATCGTGGTGGTGACACAGCTGATGGTGCCGGGAGCCTGAGTCACAGACTTCTACTTCCTTTCCTGAGATACGGTGCCCCGGACTGGGCAAGGGGAGAAGGAAGGACTGTGTGCGTTTGTGGGTGTTCCAAAGAACTTCAGTATTTTAATGAAGACATTAAGTCATTACTCTAAGCCTGTATAACTTTTAAATAAATAATTCCTTTCCTTTTCACCAATCTCTGGCATCGAAAGACGTCTTTCTTCTGGTAGCAGGCAAAGCAAACCTAGTACGGGGGGACCCCTGGAGCAAAAAGGGGGGTCCTTTTGATGATAATATATCGTTCACCACCCACCCCCTCCCGCCTGTTCCGTGACACTCCAGTAACAAGGCTGCGGCCGGAGTCCACACCCTCATAAACTGCACTCCCGCAGGTAACCGGGGAGTGTTAAGTACATCCCACTGCACCTTCCTGTCAAGGATGTGTTTGCCTGTTTTTGTTTCTTGTTTTGTTTTGGTTTTTTTTTTAAGATTTCATTTATTTCTTTTTAGAAGGAGGGGAGGGAGAGGGAGAGAAGCAACGATGTAAGAGAGAAACATCCATCAGTTGCCTCCTGTACGCACCCTGAGTTGGGACCAAACCCGCACCCCAGGCAGGAGCCCTGACTGGGAATTGAACCAGAGACCCCTTGCTTTGTGGGGTGACACCCAACTGAGCCACACGGGCCAGGGCATCAGTCATAGCAGGGAGAGGACAGGATGACCCAGAGACTTCCACCTGGCCCCTCCTGCCTTCATGGCCCCGGCTCCACAGGCCCAGTCACTGCAGTGGTGCTGCCAGCTGTTGGGTCTGTTCAGTGCCATGGGCAGGCCCTGGGAAGGCAGCCACTGAGACACACCTGACTTCCCACCTGAAGGCCTGAGGCCCTCTGACTAGCAGACCAGTGGCATCTGGGGTTTCTGGGGACTGGTAACAGTTCAGAACCAGTGAGGATGACCACCCCCACCCCAAAACAAAGAGTGCTTCCTGTCCCCCAAGTGTCACCCCAAGAAACGGCTGCAGGTGGCCTTCGAGTGCTTGGAGGGGCACAGACCACGGGGGGCACTCCAGGTCTGTGAATGGCTCCCATCTGGAACATGGGTGAGGCTGTACCTCTCCTTCATGGGGACCCCACTGGGTTTCTAGACCCTGGCCACCAACTCTCAAGGAAGACCCTAAGAACTCGCTGGTCCCCAGAAGGTTCCAGACAGCCCACCGGATCCAGACAAGCACTCTCGGTCTCCACACAGCCACTCAGAGCACCCGCCCCCACACGTCCTTCTCGTGAGCCTGGGAACCACCTTCCGACGCTGTGACGCGGCCGGGGCCCGGGGCTCGCCGCCGACCCAGGTGAGGCCCAGGGTCCCACCCAAGCCCTTGGCCAGCAAAACAAGTCTCCTCCGGGTCACCTCAGGTGCCTTCAAAATTCAACGCAGGGTCCACTGGCCACCTCTGGACACAATGCCAAAGCTCTATCATTTCCCAAAATGATGCATTCTCTAATATTTGTTCCAAAAAATACTTTATTTATTAAACAATATATCCATAATCTATAACATGATCCAAAAATACAGATATACATCTTTACATTATTTAATAAAAAGACAATATTATCTTTCCTTTACAAAGGAAACACAGATAATAATTCCTTGGAAATAAAATGTAACATTCGTGTTAAAGCTGCATCATCTTTTTGGATGAAGTGTGGTAAAGGTGAACACCACAAAACACACACACAGAAAGAAACTTCACAGAACTCTCCTGAACGAGAGAATTTCCTAGATGTCCCGTTTCAGACACCTCTCAGCACAGCAGTGATGGCCAGCTGCCGTTCGCCAGGCACTGAGGACACTTCAACCCTGCAACGCCCACGAGAGGTGCCCAAGTCCGGCGACGGGCAGGCCCTGGCTGTGGCACGTGGACAGCGTTATTGCTCGAAGCAGCCCCCGCCGAGGGCTGCCAGGGACGGGGCAGGAGGCAGTGCAGTGGGGCCATCAGGAACGGCACCGACACACGGCTGGCTGTTGTCCCCATGCATCCCAGCACACCTTGCCCCACGGGCTCCCAGGACCCTGGGGGGTCCTGGTCTCGTCCACCCCCCGGGGGCCCAGCCTGCACAGTGGGGAAGTCACGCAGGCCTCAGCCCAGCCAGAGATGCCGGGCTCAGCCCGACAGCATGTTGGTCGGTGCAGGTGCGTCCTGTCGGAGAACGAGGAGGCTTCTCAAACTGCTGGCTGAGAACGCAGCACTGAGAACAAGGAAAATGGTTCTGCTTCTCTGAACAAGATACTGCTCCCCTCACCGGTAAACTCCCAGCCACGGAGGCCGCCCCCTCACTCAAAGGGCCCAGCCCAGATCCTGCAACCCGGGGGATGGGGGTGGCCCTACAGCTGTGCCCAGGAGCCGATGTGGGCCCAGCAGGCACTGAAGGGGGTCTGGCCAGACATTCTTTCCCAACCAAACAGCCACTCTGGCGTCTTTCCGACTCAGAAGGTAGTAACGGTCGGGAACGGCATCTAGCCATCACCCAAACAATGTCCCAGGGCACCTTCCTATCATGCTCACATCTTCCACTTCCGTCAGAGCTGCCTGCATCTTATCGGGGTGATATTCCTGCAACTGGCAAAAGTAAGCACTAGCTAAGCACAGAAAGTTAGAAAAGGTGGACACACGGGATGCTCCAAGCGACAACCAGGATGACAACGCTGAACTTGAAAGAAAAGCTACGACAGAGGTCGACCGACTTTCCTGGGAAAGGAGCACGGCCTAGGAATCCAGGAGACAATCAGAACCGGCCGGCCATCGACCTGCACCCACAAACACTGTGTTCCCACGGCAACATCAGGCATGTTCAGAGATGAAGTGCAAATATTAAACTAGCTTCTAAAACATCATCACAGGCTTACTGTACTTACCTATCCTGTCCACAGAAACTGCTGAAGGGGTGAAGGAGAAGCACCCCCAACTGATCCCCACAGCCTTTCAACGCCTGTCCCGGGGAGCCGAGCTCCTCAACACAAACGGGCCTCACGTTCCTGCGCGCCCACCTCCTCCCTCGGAGCCGGGCGGCTTAGGGTCTGAGGGCGTTCGCCGGGCGGCTGCTGACCCTCCCCAACCACCAGCCCGAGGCAGGCAGAGTCAGGCAAGTTGAGGTGACCCACCCGCAGTCCATGGAAAGCAAGTCCTGCCCCCTAGGGTCACTCCAGAAAGGACAGCAGTCTGGACACGTCCCGGGCAGGCTAAGACCATGCAGACTGCAGACTCCAGCTGGGCCCCAGCTGCCCTGACACCCACTCCCGGTGGCCAAACGTTGACTCATCTGCAGGGAGCGGCTGGTCTAGAACGCAGTTTCGCCACCTGCTCTGCCCTGCTCCCTCCCCTTGGATAAACACGGGAAGCCGGGAGAGGCCACGGTGAGGGGGCAGCGGGCCACCCCCGGGCCCCCTGACAAGGAGGGTGAGATCCTTCTGACGCCAGGCGTTTCACTCCTCGACTTCACCTCCTGGGCTCTTTCCCTGGCAGGAGGCACCTGACCGGCCTGGATCACGTGGGGTGGGTCCCGGAGAGTCCGGGGGTGCTCCCAGGAGCCACGCCCCAGGTGCCGTCACACGTGGCTGTCAGCACGGCACGGGCGTGCCACGCCCCCAAGCAGTACCAGAGAGGTGGTCCGAAATCGGTTTGGTGAGTGTGGACTGAACACAAAGTACCTACTAGTTTCCTAACTGCATTCCAGAACTGCTACAGTGGCACAAGAAATTCACAAATCACGTCACATAATTGTAGTCCCTGGGACAAGCTGCCGACCCAGGGCGCAACACAAACAGGTTCAAAGTCGGCTCTCAGTAGACTGGACTCACTGCACACACACACCCACTGTCTTCATGCGGCTACAATGACTTCGTCTTCACAGTAAAAACATTCGGAATTCCCAGAGACACGGAACACCGGCCAGTCCGTGATGCTGTCCCTCGACTGCACTGGTCGTGGTGACCGCCGGCCCGCCTGCCAACCCCCCGTGTTTACTCCAGACAGTAAAGCCTCAGGAGGAGCCAGCAGTCCGGAGGAAGGGGCAGTGCACAGCCCGGCGGAGCGGCTGCGGGGAGGAGTGGCCACTTCCCACGCGGCTGCCAGCTCCGCCGCACGGTCCGAAGGGTGCCCTCCGGCAGGCCCCCCCCCACACTGCACGCACTCAGCGTGGACAGACGAGGCACGCAGGGCGGGCTCCCAGGGCTGCCTCGGACACCGCGGGCCACGCCAGGCTCACAGCTGCAGCTGCGCAGTGATGGCAGTGTCTGCTCCCTGCTGGCACGCCCACGGAGTCACTCGGGCTCCCGGTGGGACCGCTGTGCTCAGTGCCGGGGTCTGTACAGAAAGTCACGAGAACAGAGTCCCGTGGCAAGTCCCCATAAGACCCCTCCTCTGTGCAAACAGGGCTCAGGGGGGTTCTTGTTGGTGTTAGGAAATATCCGGAATTACAACTGGCCATTGTCATTAAATATTGTTCGAATCAAGGTAGTTTTAAGATGAAGATAAAATATTGCAACGCAAATGACGGAGTGTATCAACTTGCTTTCTGGCCCCGGCATCGGCCTCTGCCTTACTTCTTCTTCCTCCTCTCCTGGACGCACCGTGGGCAGAACCTGCGGCGAGAGAGGCGCAGCACCGGCCCTTTGCAGAGCTCCACTGGCATCGGGGGGCCCGGGCCCCGGCTCCCGGAGCAGCAGCACCAGATGAAAGACCCACACACACAGTGTGCAGCTCTCCCGCCAGAAAAATCTCCTCAGCAAGTCGCTCTACCTAGCATGTCTGTTTTGAGGTCGATAGATACAAATCAGTCAGCAAAACCGCTCTCAGCCGTGAGCCTTCCTCCTGACCAAGCTAATGGGTCACCAGCGACCAAACGGAGACGACACTGCCGTCGAGCTGGAGGCCTGCGTGGGTGCGGCACGGCGTGCGTGCCGGAGCCGGCGGCCCAGACTCCTGGCCCGCCCCGCAGGCTGAGCCAATCCCGGAGCGTCAGACACAGAGCACGCTCTGGGTCACTCGTGGGCCATGCCGCCACAGGGACACGAGGGACACCCCAGACCCTCCCCACCATGCCACTCTCCACCTTGGCTCCCCATCAGGAAGCAGCTGAGTCCCATGTGGCTGAGCTCACTCAGGCCCAGGCTGTGTTAGTGAGCGCACCCTGAGGACACCCTTGCTCCTACCTGCTCCGACCCTACGCCTGCCCTCTGGCCCCTGCCCCTTGGCCCTGCCGGACCTGTACCCCTGTCCCGGCCAAGCCCTGGAGAAGCTGCGCCCAGCACACACGCTGATAACACGGCAGTCAGCTCACATCTCATTGGCAGGAAGGAGCCTGCACACTCGGGAATCCCTAAAAGGACCACAAGGAAATTGGGAGGAGGACAATGGGGCTGGGCCCCTCCCTGCCTCCTGGCTCTGCGTGTCCTCCCAAAGGTGAAACTGTTTTCCAAGGCTGACTAAACTCTTCCACCAGGAGCCCCAAAACAACTCAAACCCAGCATTCCCAGATTCACTAACCAACACCCTCCCACTGCGTCATGCCCCTTCCGTGGGCTCTGGAGGCAGCCACTCCTGGGGCCACCCAGGTGTGCCAGGGCCCCGCCGGCAGCCCTGCCACGTTCCCATCACCCACGCCAAAGGCCACTGTCAGGGCTGCTGCACCCTTCTCGGGCTCCCAGAGCAGCCCAGGGCCCAGGGAGCCGGCTGGGACGACGACACAGCCGAGACACTGAGCCCCCACCTCACTACCACCTGCTGGGGCCCGGGGGAGGCAGACTGTTCTTGGGGCTTCCCACCCCCCCCACACAAGCAAGGAGAGCGATGCCTCCAGGACCCCAGAGCGAGGAAACAAAGCCAGGGGTGGCTGTAAAGGACATCATGGGGACACCTGGACGCCAGGGTGCAGGAAAGGAGCGGCTCGGTCCTGGGCATGGACATCCCCGGCCAGGCAGAGTGCCGCCCGCCTGGGCCCGTCCGTTCCACGCTGTGCTCCTCACCCCGGGAAACATCCCCAGTGGGAAAGAGCCCTCGCTCCTCGCTCCTATTTAGGGCTACCCCTGCCTCCCCCAGAAGAGTCAGAGAGCCTGCTCTACGGAACAGCAGAAATGCAGGTGTCTGCAGATATGAAAAAGGGTGTCCCAGGTGAGGTGGGCAGAAGATGGCCCTCACCAACTTGGCTGGGTCCCCACAGCCACACCCAGAGCACCAGCGGCCCCAGTGGGGAAGGTCAAACTAGGCCCTGCCACCCCCTCCCATGCTGTTCTCAAGGAGATGAGCAGCGCCCCCTACTGACCATTTTCCTTTGGGCTTCGTGGTCAGGTCCACACAGGCGAAGTGGAACCACTCGATCGGACACTGCGAGGTGGAGGCGAGAGCACAGTGAGTGTGCCGCGTGCCAGACACAGCGACGGCTCCCCCGGCACCCCCCGACCCGGGGCCCCACAGGGGGAGGCTGCCGTGCCCGGCCTCCCATCTCAAGTGCCTGCCACTCACATCCGGATTGTCACAGCCAATCATCTCCCCGTAGGACACCTGGTGGCAGAGGCAGTAGGTGGGCTCGTTGGGGTCCACAGGCATGTCGAGCACGTCGGAGGGGTGCACGGACAGGATGGTGTCGGTGAACTCGGACCTGCAGGGACACAACAGCGCTGAGCAGCAGGCAGGTGGGGCACAGGGTCCCCGTGGTTCCAGACAAGGTGGGGGCGCCGACACCTGTGAAAAGAGAAGCGCTCACCTGCGTCCATGGGGCCCAGGCCCACTCGGGCACATGAAGCCGTCCTGTCTCAGCTCCCCCACCAGGCCCTCGGCCTCCTGGGCACCCCCGCCCCCCCACCCCCGCCCCGGGGCAGGCACCTGAGAACCCTGCTGGAGTCCCACCCCAGACAGGCTGGTGGTCTGAACAGGTCTGCCCTTGCCAGCTCTCTCCCGGTCCCGTCCGCGAGAAGGGCTGGCGTGTTCCCACCTGCTCCCCACATACCTGCTTTACCCTGAAACCCACGGAACCCACCAGCTCCCCTCCCCCTCCCTGGAGATCTGAATCTCGGGAGTCCCCTCCACCCACCCGGCGGCCTGCCCATCAGCAGGGACACTTCCGACCACCCACCGGGAAGCAGGCCCAGCTCCGCAGTGGGGCGGGGGGGACCGACGTCCACCCGTCACAGGGAAGGGACCGGGCACCTGCTCTGAGTGGGTTTCCGTGTCTTTGAGATAAGGCTTCGGGCTCCAGGCCACACGGACAGTGTGCTCCCTCGGGGGTGGGCCCACCCCCGGCCGAGGGCACCCGGGCTGCGTGCACCGCTCCTCAGGGGACCGGGCCTAGGGGAGGCTGGGCAACAGCAGCCGGCCAGGACAATGCCAACATCACCACGAGGGGACACAAGGGGTCTGCTTTCCAGAGAGCATCACCCCTCACCTCTTCCTGTCCAGGAAGGTCCTGTGCCTTTCCCGGTGTCCCTGGCCGCCACGCAGCCCCCTCACGGGCGGCACCCCCCCCGCAGGCCACCCTCTGCTGTGTCTCTGGGAAGAGACAGGATTTACTCTTCCTACCTGAAAGCCACAAAGGTCACAAGGACCAGCCCATCGTGGGCATTAGTGCTGCACCAGCAGTGTCACAGCAGTCCTCGGGCCACACAGACACCTCCGTCTGTCACCGCGGCCCTGTCTCACCCACCTGCTGGCTCACCCTGAGTAACAGAAATGTCCACCCCAAGGCAGGTGCACTTCCAGTCCCCTCCGAAGCAGGCTAGAGTCCTGGCAGATCTGCGGAACTGTGGCCTCAACAAGAACACACACAGAGTGTGTTTCCAGCCAAAGGTCAACCTGAAATCCCCGAAGCACGAGGAGGACAAGTGGTCGGAATCCAGGCTCCGGGAAACCCCACCAGGCACAGTCCCTCTGAAGGAGGAAAGCTGAAGGAAAGAGGGGGTGGAGGAGAACTCACACGCTAAAGAGACTTGAAGGACTCCCCTGAAAAAGTAGGGAAAGAGACCTCTCCTCTGACCGAACAGAGTAATAGGTACTGACCCTGCCCCCGTACTGTGAGCAACTAGAGAACCAGACGAAACACACTGAACGACTGTTTCCAGACCCTGGACACACGGCGGCGAGCACCGAGATCCGGAGCGGGTGAGCCCGAGAGTGAGGCGGCTCCTCGGGGCCGTCTGCCTGCAGGCATGCCCCCCACCGCAGCCCGCAGAGGGGAAAGCCATCCGACATGGTGCTGAGAAGAGAGGAGGAAAGCCAGAGTTCAGGGAGCGTGAGACTGCTAGACTGCGGGGGCAGGGTGCCGGACAGCAGGAGTGAGAAAGAACACGCTCCAGGAATCCGCAAAGAAACCTTTTCGAGTCCTTAGCTAACAACTAAGCTCTCTGTGCACAGGCCAAGAATCCCCGAGGCCAGGAAGAGAGCACCTGGCGGCCAGGAGCCGAACAACTCCCAGCGCCCACACGCGGGGCGGACACGCCCACTCCACCAGCCAGGACGGAGACCTGGGGACACCCAGGGCCTTCAGGAGAGGACTCGGAAGGGTCACACCTTAGCCGAAGGGCTCTGCCAACCCCAGAGTCCTGGCTGCCCTAACCTGTGGGCTAGCAAACACGGCCTGTGACTGGCTGCCTGTTTCTGTAAATAAAGCTCCTCTGAAGCACGATTTGGTAGGAAACAACACAGTTGAGTGGCAACACACACAATTTGGCCTGTGAGCCTAAAATATTTACTATCTTGCCCTTTCATAAGAAGTTTTTTTATAAATTTTAAACACAAACCTACAAAGATAAGGTAATCCATGGACAATTTAACTACTGACCAAAATCTTAAACATTAAAAAAAAGCAACGCCGGGTGGTTCGGTCACTGGGAGTGTTGTCCCGTGCACCAAAAGGTTACCGGTTCAGTTCCCAGACGGGGCACGTACAGGGGGCAACTGATCAATGTTTCTCTCTCACATCGACGTTTCTCACTCTCCACCCCCCGACCCTCCTTCTCTCTCTAAAAAAATCAGTAACAACATCTTCAGCTGAGTGAAGATTTAAAAAAATAATAACAAAAAATACATTAAAAATATTCCAGCCCTAGCTGGTGTAGTTCAGTGGATTGAGTCCTGGTCTGCAGACCGAAAGGTCATTGGTTTGATTCCCGGTCAGGGCACGTGTCTGGACTGTGGGCCAGGTTCCCCAGTGGGGGATACTTAAGAGGCAACCACACACTGATGTTTCTCTCCTTCTCTTCTCCCTCCCTTCCTCTCTGTCTAAAAATAAAAAAATATTTTTTTAAATCTAAAAAAATAAAAAAAGAATTGCTACTAATTTCTTATCACTATCAACGCAAGACGGAAGACAGTGGGACAGCATCCCCAGTGCTTACGGAAAGAAGTCCACCTCGACTCTACAGCCTCCGAAAACCCCCTTCAAAACCGGAGGTGAATAAAGACATTCTCGGGGAAATAAACACTGAGAAAACCCACCACCCTCAGCGACACCTGCACTGTGAAAGCGTTAAAGCAAGTCCTCTGGGCAGACGGGGACTGACACCGGATGGAAATCTGCGTTGACAGAAAGAAGTGAAGGGCCTGGAAACGGGGACCATGGGGCCTGACTACAAAGCTCTGTCTCACATTTTACAATCGTTTAGGATGATCCATGGTTTAGACCTAAAGTCATCACGGAGAAGTTCAAGTTTTCCCGGCAGCACCGGGCGCAGGAGCAGGGAGGCGGAGCTCGGGTGAAGCAGCTGACAGTCCAGACACCGCGAGGGCACGGCAGAGACTGTCAGACTGGACAAAAGCAAGGCTCGACCTTCTGCTGCCTGCAGGAGACCCCCTCTAAATACAGAAGCATAAACACGCCGTCAGTGCAACAATGAGGAAGGAAACGCACACCATGCAAAGACACTCATGGGCAGCAGCGGAGGGACTACGCTGATATCAGACAAAGTAGACTCCAAGACAAAGAACGTAACAAGGAATAAATAAATAAATTTTACAACGTTAAAGAAGACAGTTATTTTTTTCAAAAAACTAAATGCGTACGTAGAACCAAATAAGACCTTTAAAATACCTGAAGCAACCCCTGACAGAACAGAACAGAGAAACCAGCAAGCCCACAGTTGGAGATTTCCACCACCCTCTCTCAACGCTCTCCAGAGTGGAGCAGAACTCGAGGAAGAGCGCAGAAGACTTGAACGCCACCAGCCCAGCCACCTGAGGTCTGCAGGGCCCTCCGCCCCACAGCAGTCAAACACACTTGCGTTGGGGGACTCTGGCGGGACAGGCCATGAACCACATCCCAAGTCCTGATTGACTACAGAGCATTTCGGTCACAGAACGTTCTCTGATCACAACGACGTTTGAACAGAAATGGAAAGTTACATGAAAAACCCAAAATTTGTACTTGGAAACTGAGAAACCTTATATATGAGCTATGGGTCAAAGAAAAACCACCAAGGAAATTTTAAAATATTCGGAATGGAATAAAAAAAGAACATATCGAAGTTTATAGGATGTAGGTAAAACCAAAATGAGAAGAAAACTTACAGCTTTAAATACTTGTTAGAAAAGGAAGGTATGAAAATCAATGATCTAAGCTACTTCTACTTAAAACGCTACAGGAAAAAAAGCAAAGTAAATCCAAGTAAAGTAGTAGGAAGGAAATAATAAAAATAAGAGCAGAAATATATGCAACAGAAAACAGAGGGAAAAAACCAATGAAACCAAAAGCTAGTTCTCTGAAACAATCAAGACAAAATGAGAGAAAAGATACATCACTGCGTCAGAGCTGGGCAGACCCTGCAAAACCAGAAGAATCGAGTAACATTATTAACAACCCAATGTCAACAAATCAGACAACTTGCATGAAATAGCAAATCTCGGAAGGACACATTATGAAAGAGACTCAAGAGGAAACAGAAAGCCCGAACATTTCCTTGACTTTAAAGAAACTGAATACAGCATCAAACCATATACTTAAAATGAGAACATCCTACTGTATGTCAATTATTCCTCAGCCAAGTCCTCTTGAAGGTTAAGGTCCAGGAGTGCACTGGTGGGGGCAGAACAGGGAGAGCGTGGGGCACACACTGTGTTCAGTGGGGGTCGTGCTGGTCTGGGCAGCGGGCGGAGGCCCCGGCTATAGGCACGTGCCTCTCACAGCAACTCATTCAATGACACGTGTGTTCTGCACCCCTGCACTGCTTTACAGCACAAAGGCTGGTACGAGGGTGTTTTTAAAAGATGAAAGTTTAAATACAAGGTTTAATAACCAAGACCTTTGCCTTTTTTGTCAAGACCCAACCGTTCTGACCTCACCCCGTAACTGTCCAAATCATCCCCAGAGAAGCCAGCTGGGGCCTCCCCTTCTTCTCTGAAGTCTAAACAGCACCTCTCAGATGCCAATGCTACCGTCCGGGGCGGCGGGTGGGAGGCAGCCTTAAAGGAACCCTCAAGGTCGAGTCGCGTGATGTGTTCCTTTAACACATGTAGCCACACGATAATGTATACAAAACTGCATCTACATATTAAGTGATCAACCGATTCACAGGCAGTGACTACAGGGTGGCCGAGCCCCACCTGTGAGCTGCATGGCTCAAGAGACGGGGCTGCAGTGCCTGTGCTCCTGCACCTGTGCCCCTGCACCTGTGCCCGGCAGGTCAGGCCGTCCCTGAGCACCAGCGCCCACCTGCTGCATGCAGAGCTGCTTCAAGGCTCGAGGATGGACGGACCCACCCACAAAAAGCCCGCAGAACTACTGCCATGCGGGGCGTGTGAGCACTTCCTTGCTGCCATAGGAGTTTACATCTAGCAAATACCAACGGTGCAGTTTGGGGAGGAAGAGAAAAGAAACGGCCTCTCACCCCCCTTTATGCTTCTTTTTCTTTGGAGTGTCTTCCTCTGAGGCCCTCCTGCCTCGGCCCCGGGAGCCTCTCTTCTCTTTCTGGCTCCGACCTTCTGGAAGACAAGGGAGACCCCACCTTCACCACAGCGCCCTGTGGAAAGGCAGGACAAGATTCACCCAACCACGACATTTCCCAGCGGGCTCCTGGCACGTTTACTATCATGGGCAGGGGCAACGCACAGAGAGAAAACAGACAGACTTGCTTTTTAAGCCTCGTCCTCCAGAGCCCTCAAAGTCGCTGCCCTCCAGCTTGTCCTTCAGGTCCGCTTCGAAGCGCGCCAGGTCCGCGTCGAGCCTCCGAATGTGTTTGTCCACCTGCACAGAAGGACCTCACCCATCACAGGCAACAGGAGAGGAGCAGCAGCCCAGCACCAGCCAGCCGCGCCGCACCGAGCCTCCCCCACGCAGAGCGCACCACGGCGAGGTCACCGTGTCCAAGTGTGCGAAAGGCCGTCTCGGACACCCCCGCCGCACAAACCCTGCTCAGGAAAGACCATGGTCAGCAGGACCGAGACACGGAACTAGGACAGGCGATGGGCTAGGAAGAGGGCATCTGAGACCAAGTCTGGGCCTGAAAGCCTGAGGAACGCACGGGTTCTTAACCAGAGTAAGAAAAGAAGAACAAGCCCTGGCTGGTGTGGCTCAGCTGGCTGGGGCACCGTCCCACAGATCAAAGGGTCTCGGGCTCAATTCCTGGTCAGGGCACGTGGCTAGGTTGCAGGTTTGCTCCCCGGCTGGGGTGTGCGTGAGAAGCAGTTAGTTGATGTTTCTCCCCCTCTCTCCCCGCTTCCCCGTTCTCTGAGCATCTCAGTGGGTGAGGATTCAAAAAAAGTAAATAAAAAGATGGTTTCCCCAGCCAAATAAATAAGCAAAAGGGCCATGAAAACCAGACGTAGCCATGGCCCCACCTGTGCTCGTCTGGAAGCATCGCTGCCAGAGCCCAAGCTGCCCACAACGCCTCCTCACCATCTCGTAGGTCTGCATGGCCAGCTGCACCTTGTCATCGCTGTACTCCTTGCACTTGCTGTAGGCGCTCTGGATCTTCTGCAGGTGCTGCACCCGCTGCTCCGCGGACAGGGTCTTCACCGTGGAGATGTACTCTGCGGCCAGGAGGTCGATCTCCGCTTTCTTATCTGACAGAGGAAGGGTGGAGAGCTCGCCCTTGCACGGGGTGCCAGGACCCGCTCAGCAGAGCAGCAACAGATGAAGCCTGACAACACCACGTGTCAGCAAAGTGAATGACACACCCCCCGAAGCACTGCAGGTGGGGACACGTGGGTGCAGCCCTCCGCAGCGGGGCTGGGCAGGTACTCTGGCCAGGGTGGGGTGCCTGGGACCGTCCTGCGTATGGCCGCTGTCCCAGGAGCATGCGTGGTGCCCGCTCGGACTCACAAAAGCCCTCATGGGAACAGTGAAGTTCCCATGAAGTTCCCCATGGGAACACCTTACCCAACACCCGACACTCTACTCTTAGGTGCCCGCCCTAAAGATTCAGATGCCAGGATGCACATGGGAAAGCGTCCTAACTGCAAGAAACAAGAAACAACCCAAAGGTCCAGTCCTCCCTCGAGCAGATAAGTGAGCTGTGGTCCAGCAACAAAAAAGAACCAGCTGCCACCACACGGAACAGCATCGATTCATCCACAAAAGGGACGCACAGAGGAGGACACCTGTGTTTCACTGACATCAAGGTGGGGCAGACACAGCTTTCACCCTGGCTCAGAGGTGAGGAAATGACATTGCAGGTGGGACTCAGGTGGAGGCCCCAGCGAGGGTGCCAGAAGCTCCGCCTCCCCAGGAGAGTCTCACCAGGTCACGATTACAACTGTTTGTGCTTATTTCTGTATGTAAATCTGCATTTCATAACAAAAGAAGTATCTGTATTCACTAGTCAGGCTGCTGTGCCCTAGTGAAAAACCACAACTGCTCCAATAAAGAAAACAAAATGAAAACATGAAAATCAGCCTCACCCAAGCTCATCGTCACAAAAGATGAAGCCTCAGGGAAGAAGACAGCCCAAACCTTCCAAACAGGACGAGTAAAGAGATCACACGTGTAAAAAGTAAGGGATCCAAACGGCCTCAGATCTCTCCACAGCAACGTGGAATCAGGGGCCAGGCTGCAAGGCCTGTCATGTGCTGGGGGGATGACAGTTACCCCGAAAGGCTACACCCAAACCAGGAGTCGACTGTGAGGTCAGAACGAACACACTTCCAGACACACAATGTTAGAAGAAACTTATCATCCCAAGTACCCTTTTCCAGGTGGCTACCAGGGGAAAAGCTCCTCTGAAACAAAGGGGTTAAATCAAGAGAGAGAGGACGTTTACGACCCAGGAAACGGGGTCCCAACCGAAAAGGAGAAGGGAGCTCCCAGGAAAACCCAGGGCCCGCCTACGCAGCAGGCCTGGAAAGCACCAGGCAGATGGACCTGCAAGACGGAGGGATCCGCAGAGGTCCCAGCGCAGAGCAGGCAGAGCCAGAGCAGAACCTGGAGCAGCAGACACACCGAAAACGCAGAATGTGGAAAAGAAACCAGCGATCAAAGCTACTAGGAACTCCAACAGAAGCTGTTGTTCGAAAAAAGGTCACGTAAGCGCAGCGTGCCGTGTGGCTCAGGCGCAAACTACCTACAGAGCCGTCCCGAGGGCGATGCCGTCACAGGTGCAGCACATGGCTGGTTCCAGGCCACAGCACCCAGGACGTGGGGCGGGGGGTACCTGGGCTGGGTGGGGTGCAACTGGAGAAGTAAAGCCCCACAGAAACTGAACAGATAAAGTCTAAAGCTAAAGGAGAATAAAATAAGAAATAGCAGCAAAATGTCATTCTTAGAAATAGGGAGTTAAATACTAAGAGAGCAGAAAGAACTATCTAACTTTTTAAACGATGCATACATAGTTTGAAATTAACCTCTCTTAAAAGAAAGAAAAGGTAACGCATATTTCTGACTTTCAGAGAGGATGATGCGTGTAGACTTGGAGAGGCATAAGAATCCAACGTCAGCACACTCCAAGACGCCGTCCGAAGCCACAGCCTAGGGCAGGGCCGCAGCCCCACTGCACCGGGTCCTCTGGTCACCCAGTGCCACACCAGGGTCCTGGTGCCGCCTCTCCTCAGCTGTACTGAAGGCCTGAGCCCACCTTCTGTCCTCTGGTCCAGCTCTCGCATCAGCTGGAAATTCCTCTGAAGTTCACAAGGAAGGTTCTCGATACCTGAAACACAGGGACGTGGATTTCTCAGTAGGAGCCCACAAGTCTGCCTACTAGGCTTGAAACCTACGGTCTACAGGTAACATGCCTCCTTCTCTTCTCTTTCTGTTAGGGGTTGGAGAGAAACAAGTGCATGCTCAATGTAAGCAACAGGCTGACACACTTCCGAAGCCGCTGGCTCTGGAGAAGTTAGAGGGGAACTTAGAAACAAGCTGCAAGTGTGGGCAGGGGAGACAGCTGCCCTCCCCCCACCCCCTCCTGTGCAGGTCACCCCACCACAGCCAGCCGGGCCAAACCCTGGGTCCCCTCTGGTCTTCCCCCACTTCACTCTGAAATCCAGCGCCTGGGCAGTGCAGACCGGCGGTATAGAGAGACCTTTACACCAGGATGCAAGTGCTCTCCGTGCCGCCCCGAAGTGCAGGCACTGGCCACACGGGGCCACTGAGCATGCCAGGTGGAGTCATATCGCGGGGGCACCAAACTTCTAGTTCCAGTCGGGTTCAGCATCGTCCTGCACGGGTGGAGGACACACCGCGTGCTGCCCACCCACCTGCACTGCCGTCCTCCTAGTCCCAGCCAACCTCCTGGCGCACCTGCACAGCCTCAACAGTCCCCGACTGGGCTCCTGCGTCCAGTCGTCACCCCCCCACACTCTCCCCATGTGCCAGCGATCTTTTCAAGAGCTCAATCTAATCTTGCAAAGCTGCTGCTCAAAGCCCCAGGGCTCCCCAGCTCCTCAGAGAGCCAGGAACACGCACAGCAAAGCCTCCAAGCTCGGCAGGGCAGGGCAGGGCAGGGCAGGGCCGGGCCACCGGCGGCTCTGCGGACCTGACGGGCTCTTCGCGGCCTTCACACCTCTGTGAGCGCTAAAAAACCCATCTGCCCACGTGAGAGTGCGTCCCAGGGAAACAAGGCTGGCGTCTGCTTTCCTGGGACACAGGAGGAGCTCGAGGAGCAGGCAGGGACCTCCATTCCCGAGCCTTCACACGCACATTCCTCAGGCCTGCCCACGGGAGCGGGGGCCGGACAAAGAAGGGCAAGCCCCGTGCTCTCCAACAGACACCTGGGTGCAGGCCTCTGCGTGACAGTGTGGGAAGGGTCCCCTCCGCGTGCTCTCCCACCAGACTGGTGCTCAGGAGGTGCCAGGAGAAAACAAATGGCCAGGGCTGGGTGACCCCCTTGGGGGGAGCTGACACCCACCGTCTCCTCCAGAGCAGGACTCACTGCCTGCTCAGCAGCCTCCGGTGGGAGCCCAGGCCTGAGTGACCAAGAACAGCCCAGGTGCAGCACAGTGCTCCATGCCCCAGCCAGGGCCAGACCCAACACGTGCGTGACTCTGACAAGGTCCTCAGGTCCGCGAAATGCAGGGTCACCATCTGCTCAGGAATGGTCAGAAGGGTCCATCCTGAGCTACAGGTAGACAGAAGGACGACTCCTGGAGAAGCCTCACAGACATGGCCCCTGGGCACCTGAATCAGCCCCGGAAACACCCTCGCGGAAAAGCAGGCGCCCTGAGAGACCCTCGACCCCAGCATCACCTGCCTACCTTCCAGAATCACAGGCTGAGGCTCGGCGACTCCAGAAACCCCAAGGCCGGGGCTCCCAGGTCTGCCCCAGAGTCCAAGGGGTTGGGCCTCCGACCACTTTCTAAGGCTTGAGTGGTGGGAGGCAGGCCAAAAGCCAGTAAGGGCGAGGCCTGAGAACCAGACTCCAGGGGGGCGGGGCAGCGCCGGAGGCGGGGCCTAACAGGGCTAGGCCTATTGGGGAGGAGCCTATCGGGGAGAAGGTCGGGCCTGGAAGAGGGCCTAACCAAGGAGGGTGGGGCCTAACGAGGCGAGGCCTACCGGGGAGGCGGGGTCTGACCGGCGAGGGGCGGGGTCTATCATAGAGAGCCCGGCCCAGCCGCACTCTAGCTCCGCCCCGCTGTGACGCACTTAGAATTGGCGCGGCTGTGCCGGCGGACCCAGCGCGGCCAACCCCGCGCGCGCCCCACCCTCGTACCCGCCCCGCCTCGCGCGCGCCTCCGCTGCCCTCTGGCCGCCCGGCTGGCCCCGCGAAACCCGGGGTCCACGCACGGGTCCTAGTGTGCAGGCGGTAAATTGCGGGGAGGGCCCCGCGCGGGCGGCGGCCCGACGAACACAAGGGGCACTTACTGTCCAGGTAGTGCTCCAAGTACATGGCGGTCGCCATCTTCGTTCGCGGCCGCGCTCTGGATCTGCGCGGGCGGGCGTAGCGGCTAGAGATGGGGGGCGGAGCCGGTGCGTTCACTATTAATGAGCCGCGCGCACGGATTGGCCAGCAGGGGGGCCGCTGACGGCCGGGTCCGCCCCCGAACTTCCGGTCCGCGGGGTGTGTGCAGTGGCGCGGGAGCGGGTTCCGGGCCGCGCGGCTTTCCCTGTAAGGGCATGGGAGCGTGGTTGTGGGGGACCCTGATCCTAATTCCCTGGACACCTCTGCCTGAGTGGCGCTGGCACTTGGCCCGGGGCCCCCACCGCTCTCTCCTGGTGCCTGCGAGTGGTGACGAACGTGGTCCCGCGGTTGAAAGGGTCCCCGGAGTGCACCGAGTGCGCGCAGAAAAACAGGGTGATGGGTGATGGGGTCACCACGTGTCTGTGGGAATCGGGAAGAGGTTGGACCCAGCGCTGATCTCCCCCGGGGCGTCTTGGGGGAGGGACTCTGCGCGATCTCCTCCCGCCGGGCATGCCCAAGGGACAGCTGGCCCCTGGAGGGGAGCAGCCTAGGCCGGTAACCGCGCCCCTCGTCGTCCCCTGGGATTCAGATGGCGACCCCCTGACCAATGAGTAGCAGATTTCCTATTGAAAATGCATGTTTAAAGGTGTACTTCCCTTCCTGAGCTCTTTCCTAAACTTCCAAATTTTAAAAAATTGAAAGGTTTTTGTCAATTTTATGTTTACTATACAAATTCAAACTATTCAGGAACTCATAAAGGAGTTTCCCCACCCCTGGAAAGGACAGGAATGTGATTATCTCGTTCTCCTTTGAATCCAAATTGCAATTTTCCTGCATTCTTTCTGGCCCCATTTAATGCTTAATGAGAAGACGGTCAGACGCATGCACACATAACTAAATACTACCCATCTTTTTCATTGTTTTAAGTGGCTAAGTTTTTTAAATATTTTATTTTTAGAGAAAGGGGAAGGGAGGGAGAAAGAGGGAGAAACATCAATGTGTGGCCACCTCTCGCGCACCCCCTACTGGGGACCTGGTTGGCAACCCAGGCATGTGCCCTGACTGGGAATCAAATTGGCGCACAGGCTGACCCTCCATCCACTGACCCACATCAGTGGATTTTTTTTAAATAGACTTTATTTTTCAGAGTAGATTTGGGTTCACAAAAAAATTGCTAAGAAAATAGAGTTTCTGCATACCCCCTTCACACACAAACACAGTTTTCCCTGTTATAAACAGTATTCATCTGGTACACTTACTACAATTGATGGAACCATACTGATACGTTATTTTTACTTAAGATTTTATTTTTTAGAGGGAGGGGAAGGGAGGGAGAAGGGGAGAGAAACAGATGTGTGGGAGAGAGAAACAGGGCTTCGTTGCCTCTTGCACGCCCCCAACTGGAGACCTGGCCCATAACGCAGGCGGGTGCCCTGACTGGGACCGAACTGAAACCTTTTCATTTGCAGGCTGACACTCAACCTACTGAGCCTCACCAGCAAGGGCGATGCATTATTATTAACTGAAGTGTGTAGTTTATATTAGGGTTCACTCTGTTGCACAATTACGTTAAGTAGCCACCATCACAGTATCAGGCAGAATCTAATAATACCCTGTGTTCCCCGCACTCCTCCTTCCCCCCACAACCTCTGGCAACCACAGATCCTTCTTGTGTCTCTATAGTTTTGCCTTTCCAGAATGTCCTATAGTTGGAATTATACAGTATGTAACCCTTTCATATTAGCTTCTTTCACTTAGTAATATGCATTTATGTTTCCTCTGTGCCCTTTCCTGCTTCATATCTTCTTTTTCTTTTTTTAATTGATTGATTTTAGAAGAGGACGAGAGAGAAACATCGGTTAGTTATTCCACTTATTGACACATTCATTGGTTGCTTCTTGTATGTGCCCTGACCAGGGATCAAACCCACAACCTTGGCGTATCGAGACAACACTCTTAACTAATTGAGATACCTGACCGGAGCAGCTTCTGTCTTATTGGCCAAATATGTCATTTTCTGTAGGTATCACAATTTATCCATTCACTTCTTGAAGGACATCTGGGTTGCTTTCAAGTTTTGTCAGTTACGAATAAAGCTGCTGTGTTCATTCACGTACAGGTTTTGTTTGGACGTGGTTTTCTGTGATGCTAGAAAATACTATACTATTACACCTAGTTTTGTAAGAAACTGCAAACCGCCTTCCACAGTGGCTGCACCGTGTTGCAGTCCCATCAGCAGTGAAGGAGAGTTTCTGCTGCTCCACATCATTGCCAGCATTTGTGAGTGTTCCGGGCTGTCATTCTAATAGGGGGGTGGAGGTGTCTTTTAGGTCCAATTCCCCAGCGATGTGATGTTACCCACCTCTTCACATGCTTACTTGCCAGGAATGTTTCTTGGGTGAGGTGTCTATTCAGATCTTTGCCCACTTTTCAGTTGGGCCATTTGTTTTCTCCTTGGTGAGTCACACTACCCACTTTCCCAATACGTACATTTCTCACTGAATATGCCTCATGAATTCCAGGCACATTTTGCTCAGTTGCACATCATCCTGTTTACTGGATATGCTTCATGGTGTCGGTGTGCCCCATTTTAACGAGCTCCTTACAGATGTGCAGTATTACTATAAATAATGCTCTGGTGAACGTTGATTGGTTCATACAGCTGGAGGTATCTGTTTTTCCCAGTTACCTGTTTTTCCCAGGTGGCACATAATGAACCACCTGGGAACTTAGTGTTTTAAAAGCACCATTTTATTATAGCCCACAATGTTATGAGTCAAGCATTCCAGCGGAGCTCAGTTGGGTGATTCTGCTGTTCTCTGTGATACCATAGAGATTACTGGGGTAGCTGGAAGGCTGCATCCAACTGGCACCATGGGTCAGCACCTACAAGTGGCCTCTCTAGGCCAGGGATCCCGGGTGGCAGCTCCAGGCTTTTGAAGAGTTCTGGGAGGCCCCAGTAGAAGCTACAAGACTCTTTGTGGCTTGGTTGTCTGAAGACATCACCTCATGACATGCTATTGGTTAAGCAAGTCTTTGGGGCCAAGCCAGATTTGAGGAGAGGAGAAATTAGATGCAACTTCTCAGTGGGAGGGGTACCAAGATTGTGACCATCTTTAATCTACCACATAGTCTCGTTAGTTCTTTAGGGTAAATGCGGAGAAATGGTATTGCTGCCCTGGCCAAGTAGGTCAATTGGTTAGAGCATCATCCCAATACACCAAGGTTGAGGGTTCGATCCCTGATCAGGGCACATATAAGAATCAAGCAATGAATACATCAATAAGTGGAATAACACATTGATGTTTCCCTCTATCTCTAAAATCAATAAATTAAAAAAATGGTATTGCTGGTTCAAAGAGCATTGTACATTCTAAGTACTGATACTTTTAAATGAACTGACACTCCGCTGAGTGTGCTCCTACACTTGTTAACCCTTGATTGCATTGGGCTTTTTTTTTTAATCTGTGCTAATGTGACAGAAAAGAAATAACCAAAAAACCACCTCAGTGTTTTCATTTGTATTTCTTTGGTTTTAAGTGAAGCTAAACATAAGCTTATGTATTCATTGACTGTTTGTCTAGCATTTCCTTTTTAAAAAAGATTATTTATTTATTTTTAGAGAGAGGGGAAGGAGTGAGAAAGAGAGAGAGAGAGAAACATAGATATGAGAGAATCATCGATTGGTTGCCACTCACACACCCCCAATCGGGGACCTGGCCTGCAACCCAGGCCTGTGCCCCTACTGTGGACCCAACTGGCAACCTCGATTTGCAGGACAACGCGAAGCCCACTGAGCCACCCCACCCGGAGCTGTTCTATCATTTTCTGTATGTCCTTTCCCCATTATCCATGGGGAAACTGGTCTTCATGCTGTTCATCTAAAAATGTAATTTCTTAATATTATAGAGAATAAATCACATATCATGCCCGTCACATATATCGAGAATAACTTCTCTCAGGTAGCAGTTTTTCACTCACACAAGTGACGAATTCTCATACAGAGACCCTGCTTTATTTAGAAGCTGCCAACACGAGAGGCGACTCCACTACTATCTTTTTTCATTGCTATATACTCTAGAGCAGGTGCTATTGACATTTGGGGCCCCATACTCTGCTGCGGGGGGCTGTCTGGTGCCTTGTAGGCTGTTTACAGCGTCCCTGGCCTCCACTCAGTAGACGCTGTGAGGAACCCCACCCAAGTTGTGACCATCAGAATGCCCCCCAGTTGAGAACCAGAGCTGTAGGGGAAGGCTAAGCTGCTCTTCCCAAGGAGCCCAGCCAAATCCAGTGGCTCAGAACAGAACTGTATTTCTCCTGTAATAGTCCAGGGGAGACAGCCATGCCCGTGGGTCACAGGAACCCAGATTCCTTACCGCGTGGTGTCTGCTCCCCAAGGGCCTCACGGACGGTCGAGGCTGGGCTGCGAGGAAGGCGGGGCGAGAGGAGGGGCAGTGTCCAGTCTGCCGCGTGAAGGAGCAGGTGCCCCTTCTCACACCTCATTGCTGGTAACCTAGTCTCCTGGCGATACCCAACTGCAAGGGAGGCTGGGAAATGGGGTTTTGGCAGGGTGGTGGTGGGCCCAGCACACTTCTGAAAGCAGGTGAGTGCCGCCATGGACTGACTATCACCCCAAAGTGCATAGGCTGCACTCCTAACCCCCAGTGTATTTGGAGAGGAAGTTAAAAGGAACAGACACCAGAGGTCTCTTTCTGTGCCCACACACCTGCGCAACGGGGAGGCCCAGTGAGGGTACAGCCGTCTGCACCCCAGAGGGAGCACTCTGACCGACACCAACCTTCCAGCCTGCAGGACTAAGTGTGGCGTTTGTCACGTCAGCCCGGCTGAGAGACCGGGGCGGCTGCCACGTCCCACGGCTCCCGTGAGACGGAGGTGCAGCACACTGAGACACAGCACAGCACAGGGAGGCCTTTTTTTCATGGAAAACCTCAAACACAGAAGTAGAGAGAACCTATTGAACGCCAGGCGCCCACTGGCCAGTTTCAGCAGTTACCAACTGAGGACCAATTTTGTTTCACCTGTGCCCAAGCACGCTCCGACCCAGCATCCTGCCCTGTCCTCCAGAGCGGGCACCCCCGTGCCTGCCTGGCCGTCACAAGGTGGTGTGGACAGACCCCAGCACCCACAGATGTGGTACTCGCACCACTCCAGGCAGACTGTACCACACCAGGCCTGAAACGTGTCAGGGCCACAGGGTCAGGACTGCAGGCCTGGGGATGCCGCTGTCACAGTGACCAGGAAGGAAAAGCCAAGAAAGCCACCAAGGCGCTCTCATCATCTGACAACATTCAACATCACTGAGCAGCAGAAGCAGCTCTTGGCTGCCTCGTCCAGATTTTGTGTCATATGAGATAATTAAATACCAGTTAGGCTGGTATTCTGATATGTGTAGTTAAAGGCATCCTGGCTTAAAAAAAGAAGAAGAAGAAGAAGAAAGCCCTGGCTGGCATGGCACCAGCCTGTGAACCTAAGGATCACCAGTTTGATTCCTGGTCAGGGCACATGCCTGGGTTGTGGGCCAGGTCCGTGGTTGGGAGCGTGCAAGAAGCGACCAACCAATTGATGCTTCTCTCACACATCACTGTTTCTCTCCCTCTGTCTAGAAATACATAAATAAAATAAAAGAGGAATGACATGTTGGAAGAGGTGGAAACAAAGTTGCTTGTTGCAGTTTAATAACAAACTTGCAATTTCCCCAATCAAAAGGGCACCCAGTCCCCACCCAGCATGCAAGGCCCCATCAGCCAGGTCCCCTCCATTTTCATGAGTGACCAGAAAGGTTGTGCATTACAAATGTTCCTGTTTGCCCCATGAGCTGGTCCTACAGATGTGGTACAAGGCTGTCATGGGACTTGTCCAACACTGGGAGGGTTCTCTTCTGTCCCCTACTCTAACCCCTTCATCCTTTTGACAGCAAGGTGGACATTTTAGAATAAGACGTCAGTCAGACGACAGGATATTGCTTACCTACATAAGGCAGTATTAGGCAAGTCTTTGTGTCATGAGCTTTCATTAGGTTGTGTTACAGTAACAAGGTACCCAGAAGTCTCTGAAGTCTCCAAGACTTGAGTCACAGCAGTTTACTTTTTCCTGGTGCTACTGTGGCTGTACGTCTTCATTCTAGCTCATTAGGCAAACATGAACATTTGTGAATCCAGGTGCAAAAGCAGCCCTCATTGTATACTTGCTGCTCCTAGGTTGGGGTCAAGAGGGGCACCGCCAACCACGCAACTAACTGCTGCTGAAGCTTCTGGCTGAACTAGCGCTGAGGTTACTTTACAGCAGGGTTTGGAAGTCACATGTCCAGGCTCAGCATCAAGAGGGGAAGCAAATAATTTGAAACAATATAATCTATCACTCTTCCAAAACTCAAGACCAAATCGGGGAGGGGTCAATCAGGAAAACATAAAGCTGCTGTAGGTATCTTGGATAACACTGCCATCAGGGGCTTGCACAACCACCGAGAAAAACAGAAGGTCGAAAATGCGCCAAGAGCCTCCAAGCAAACACAGGGCGGCGGGTGGTCTCGGGCTGGAGGGAAGCCTCTGCCATTCTCAACCCCAGACACCCTCTCACTCTGCAGCGGTGAGGCAGGTGGTTCCAAAAGCTCACTGGAGAACAGCCCGGAACCTCACGTCTACATTATTGCTCGTCCACCTCCCCGAAACAGTGGCCTCCGAACTTTGCACTAGCGCCTGTCACAAGCAACCTAACCCAAAGGAACACGTAGCTCCTGGCTTGCTCGGGTCTGAATGTGCGTGCCCCCACAATGGGACTGTATGGGGACCGGCCTTCGAGGGGTGGGGTTTAGACCGGTCGGAGGACAGGACCCGCCCGTGAGAACAGTGCCCTTGTTGGGAGAGAAAGGCAGCCCCCTAAGTGCACAATGTCACCTGGAAGATGCCCCCGCAGCCTGATGTCCCTGAGACATAACAGCGAACATTATCAAGTGCTCCCTAGATGCCAGGGATCGTCTCACACTACACGTGTCGCCTCTCCACCCTGGTCGGTGCCCACAGGACAGATTGGGACACAAATGAGACAATCCCTTCTCTCCTCTCTCTCTCTCTCTGAGGATTTGCACTGTCGTCTCGGCAAGTGGGAGTCACGGAGCTTTGAAGGCCCGAGTATTGGGACCGAAAGTGACCAGGAGCGTTTCTTTAGGGCTGCCCAGTGGCCGGGTGCAGACAGCCCTGCCCGCGCTGCAGGACGCCGCCGGCCCGGCGCGCGCTACAACTACGCGGCCTGCTCGGGAGCTCCGGCGGCGGCCCGCGCCGCCCTCCCACCGCAACTCCACGTAGGCTCGCCGCTGAGCCCCGCCCCCCCCCCTCCGCCGACAGCGCGCCGCCGCCCTCACTCAGAGCGCAACCTAGGTGTCCAGCTCAGGCGTCCGAGGGCCAGGCTTCCGGCCTAGAAGGAGGAGACGCCGCCCGAACCGACGGTCAGTCCTGGGCGGCCGATCAACGCCTGGAAACGGCAGCCAATCCCAGCGCGCGTCCCCTTCCCATTTCAGCCCCTCCCCCTGCCCGTCGCTGACGCCAGCCAATAGGAGCTCTTGGCGGCCTTCCAAAGCGCAGCGACCCCAGGTCAAGGCGGGCTGCGGAAGGCGCGGGATGGCGGGCCGGCGCGGCGCTCTGATCGTGCTGGAAGGCATGGACCGCGCCGGGAAGAGCACGCAGAGCAGCAAGCTGGTGGAGGCGCTGTGCGCAGATGGCTACCGCGCCGAGCTGCTGCGCTTCCCGGGTGGGTGGGGCGCGCGGACGGTCCTGGCAGGCGGAAACGCTCGGGGAGCTGGAGGTTCGCGGGCAGCGGGAGAGCCCGGGTCCAGGGACCGAGAGTGTCCACCGAGCCCGTCCCGTCCCGTTTCCCGCATCCGCAGCGTCTGCGGCTGAGGGCGGGTAGGGAGGTCGCTTCTTTTGAAGCTGTCCTTCCCACTTTGGTCGGCCCGGGTGAAGCAGACTTAGCTGAGCGCCGCGGGCGCCGTCTCTGCTCAGTCGGCTTTCTAGTTGGCGGTTCCTACGGTCGTTGTGCCCTGTCCCTCAGCTGCGCAGCGTCTGTGCCGCGGTGCACTGATCTGTAGCCGGGGGACAGGAAAAGGCACGGGTGGGGGGAGGGGGAGGAAGGGCGGGACACCCGAGCAACTGTCCTCGCAGTCCAGACTGCTTGTCATGCACAGAAGTTCGCCCGCGCTGCTTTGTAACCCATGTCCCAGCGTCTTGTCTTGTTTTGCTGTTTGTCCTCTGAGGGGTTTTGTGGCGTATTTTTAATTTTCAAAGTAAAATATCTTGAAATCGCTTAAAAGTATCGTTATTCAGATCATCAAGAGACAGCATAAGGTCCCAAAACCAGGATAAAGAAGTGGGGGAAGTGCTGTTTTGAATGTCGTTCTGATCTTGAGGGTAGTCGTTCTGCACGTGTTAGACCGACACGCCCGCCTTGAGCGAGCCCCGCCCCCCAGCGTTTCCCGCCAGAGTGTCTGCCTCGTGCTGCGCCTTCCCGGGGAAACTCCGGTGGTCTCAGGTCCCAGCCTGCGGAGAGAGACAGCAAAACAACACTAGAGCTTAGGCTTGAGTCCTGGACCAGAAGTTCGGCCCAGACTATTCTAATTTAAGTGGAAAGACTCACGTTTCTGGTTTTTCTCTTTCTTTTTAGAAAGATCAACTGAAATTGGCAAACTTCTAAATTCTTACTTGACAAAGAAGAGCGAAGTGGAGGATCATGCCGTGCACCTGCTTTTCTCTGCGAACCGCTGGGAACTAGTGTAAAAGCAATGCCCCTCCTTCTCAACCCTCATTCGACGGGGGGTGGGGGGGTGGGGGGGTGCTCAGCGCTAGCCTCTGAGTGGTGTTGACAGTGAGGCGGAGGCTGTGCGGGTAGTTCCAAGGTTCTTTTACTCGCCAGCCCCGGGACCAGGGTCTAATGGCTGTGTGTTCCCAGAGAGCATGGTTAATACCTTTTCCTCCTCCTGCCTGCCCCTCCTTGTAGGTAGTTCATTCTCTTCCGATAGCTTTAGGGACACAGAAAAGCTAGTCAGAAAGTGCTCACCTGCTCCGCACCCCTGCCCCTTCCTCCTGCTCCCCTGGCCTTCTTGTCTGGCTCTTCCCGTGGCTGAAGTTCACGGTTCAGGTTAGTGTTGCGTCCTCTCCCGTCCCGTTCACATCGCCTTCGCGGCGTCCTCCTCTCAACGTCGAACTGCTTGCCGACCGACGGGGGGTGTGTTTTCAGAGGCTCCTGTTTCCCTTTAGTTGCATGCAGACAGCCCATGTCAGTGGAGTTGCTTCGTTTTGAGCAAACGGGGCCCCACCATACAAGCCGTTTCACAGCTGCTTTCCAACTGCCCAGCAGGCCCGTGGCATCCGACGGAGGCCGCCCTGCCTGGCTCTGCCCCAGCGCTGCGGCCTGCTTGCCGCGAGGGTGTCCGCAGCGGGTGCTGGTGGACAGTCGGGGCTCGCATCCTCCTTCCAGGCCCTGCCCTTCTCTCTGCTTCACTCGCTGCCTTGCTTGGAAAGGCCTTTCCCAATCTAAGACTCTTGAGACCAGTTTTATGTTATCATTTTACCTACGTAGTTAATGGATATAGTTGTTCTGATTTGGTTTTTGTGGCTCTGTAAAAATTAAGCAATATAAGCCCAATTCGAAAATGGGAAAGAATGCTAACTACTTCCTAAATAGGGTTCTTGTCTGGGCTCTGGAGGACTGCGCACCTTGGTTGTCATTCTCTTCTGCCACAATGCCCACAGCGCCCCCCGCAGCCCATGCGGGCCATGACCGTCACAGTGCTTCTGAGACCTGAAAGTCCTTGGCTGACAGGTCAGATGCCAGAGTTCCCTGTGGGCACCCTGGTCCACCATCTGTGTGTCCTTGGTCTTGTCCCGCCCTCGGCCACACTAGTGCCCTCATAGGCCTGGTGTCGGGGGGGTCACGTGTCGTTGGCCAGGCAGGCAGTGCTCAGTGAGCCCCTGCTGTTTGGAATTCGCCCTGGTACGTAGAGCACTTTGTGGGGAACTGGTTATTCTTCTCTCCAGCGATTCAATCTTCCTCCTTAGCTGTGCTGCATCTGACCTGGGTAGGTGGTGGTCCCAGCAGGCATCTCCCGCACGGTGAGGGCGATGTCCTCCAGACCCCTCCCCGCCTCCTTTTACCAAAGCCTGCCGGCCAGCTGCCACCACACACAACCCTGCGCAGGAACTCACTCGCAGAAACTGGGGGTTGCTCTTCCTTCCTGCCACAATTTAGCAGTTTTCTCTCCACCTGGTTTTAAACTTTATTTTGAAATGATTTCAATCAACTGTAAAAGTTGTAGGAATAGTCCCAAGAATTCCCATTTGCCCTTCACCGACCTTCCCCTGTAATTAACATTCGCCACACTGATCATTCGTTCACGCTCTAAAAGACTCCCAGGCTGTTCATTCTAAAGTGCAGCAGCTGCTTGCTGCTGCCTCACGAGCAGACTTAGGTGTGCGGTTTTGGCAGGAACACCACAGAAGCAAAGTGCCTGGGTCCTGAGGGCAGTGGCCAGGCCCTCCCACTGAGCGACTGTCTCCGGTTAACAGACGGGGAAGTGCCACAGGACCATGGGAACACCCCTCCCTCCGCACTCGCGGGCCCTCTGCTGTCACAGTCGCCGACGGCCCTGGGCAGCCGTGTGGTTTCAGACGGGGACTTTCGGACCCCGTTCCTCACACCCATGGGAGTTGGCTCTGCGTGTGGAGGAGCTCTCCCGGCTCCGCACCCATCCTGCGTCGGTGTGGACGCACAATTCTCTTCCCCTCGGGGGGTCACGAGCCACTCCTGTTGTGTGCCGTTCGGGCTGCCCTAAGCGCGGCTGGCGGGAGGCTCTCCAGGCTGGCTCCTGTGCCCACGTGCTGCCTTCCTGGGCCTCGAGTGTGGAGAACGTAATTTTGCTATAACAAGGGGTTTAGGCTTTTTTTTTTTTAAGATTTTATTTATTTTAGAGAGGGAAGGGAGGGAGAAAGAGAGAGAGAGAAAAACATCAATGTGCAGTTGCTGGGGGCCGTGGCCTGCAACCCAGGCATGTGCCCTGACTGGGAATCGAACCTGTGACACTTTGCTTCGCAGCCCGCGCTCAATCCACTGAGCTACGCCAGCCGGGGCTTGGGTTTAGGCCTCTTACAGTGGAGAATGGTGTTTAGAAGCCAACCTCGGGGCCCCAGTGTACCCACTGCTCGTGGGGGATTATTTCCTCTGTGTCCGTGTCGCTACCTTATCTGTGCTTTCACTTTTCAGTTCCCCACGCTCAACCGTGGTCTGAAAATATTAAATGAAAAATTCCAGAAATAAGCAATTCAGAACTTTAAAATTGCACCATTCTGAGTATCAGGATGAAACCTTGAACTGCCCGCCGTCCCTCCTGGGACGTGACTCGGCCTTTGCCCAGCGTCTCTGCAGTGTGGACACTGTTTGTCCGCTGGTCACCCTGTAGCCGCCTCAGCTGTCAGACCAGCCGTTGTGGCGTGGCGGTGCCTGTGTCCACGTCACCCTTGTTCTATTTCACAATGGCCCCAAAACTCACCAGGGGGTACTCTGATTCGCTGGAGAGACCGTAAAGGGCTTCCTCTAACTGAAAGGTGAAAGTTCACTTGAGGAAAGAATGTTGTACGTACACTGAGGTCAGTATACGGCAGGAGTGAGTCCATCTTTGAAATTGCCTGAGTTATGAACTAAACTTAAAAGTAAGTATGTATAGGGAGAAAAGCAGCATATGCGGGGTGTGGTACCGTCTGGTTTCCGGCATCCCCTGCATGTAAGGGGCAGCTCAGGAGTTCGCCCCGACGCCTGCCGACCCGGCCTACCACCCCAGGCTCCTGGCCCCCCGAGTCCCGCCTGCAGCCCCCTCGGAGCCTGCCTAGTGGCCAGGGCAGGTACGCAGCTCTGTCCTTAGCAGGGGGACACAGACAGTGCCGTGTCCGTGTGGGGTGTCAACTGCACGATTTTAGGGTTTCTTCCATCCTCGCTGATTTAATTTTGGTGTTTGAATACATAAAACAGATGGATCTAAATGTCAAAACCACACAAAGTAGGCCACTGCCCGGCCCGTCCGCTCTTCTAACACCCGCACTACCCCATGGGGAAGAGTGTCCCTGCCCAATTTTTTTCACTTTTTACCAAAAAGCAGGTACGTAAGTGTCATCCTGGTTCACCTTTCTTGTAGAAAAGGTAGCTGGCCGTGAGCACTCATTTGTGCTTTGTTTTCTTAGCGACCCGCTAGGGGCTGGTTCTTACCTCCTTATGGGCGTCTTCCTCGTTCTTTACAAAGTTGCGCCATCTCCGTCGTGCACATGCCGTGCGTCCTGCTCGTGGACTAGGTAGCGTTTCGGTGGTTTGAGATCGCGGGAGCAGCTGCGAGAGGACTGCATCGGGCTGTTGCCGGTGTGGCCCCCCGACCCCGATTCTCCTGTGAGCTTCACCGGGTTGCTGACGTCACCCGTCCTCCTGTTCCCCAAAGTGCAGGCAGCGCTCCTCGGTGATGTCAGCCCTCTGTCTCTGCATGTCCTTCTAGGCCGCTGTCGCCTGGGTGGGAAGTCCATGGCCTCCCACCCGTGGGGAAGGCACACGCCCCCACATCGCCTCCTGGCTACAGCCAGCCCTCCCCGCCCCTCTGTTCTCTGATGCCTGAGATTCGTCAGGGGTCTTGTCTTTCTTGTCGGGCTTTGCTGGCATCTTCTAAGAAAAGATCTAGGGCTTTTTAAATAGGAGTAATGTCACAAGTCTCTGTCCCATGGTCCCCGTGGTGACTGAACCATGCCCTCAGGGGGACAGTGCAGGGCTGTGGAGCCAGGGCTGTGACTCAGGAGCATTTTCTGTTTTTTAGGCCATTGATGAAGGAGAAGCTGAGTCAGGGCGTCACCCTCATCGTGGACAGATACGCGTTTTCTGGTGTCGCCTTCACCAGTGCCAAAGAGGTGAGTGCTGCCCGGCCTGGTGGCAGCCGCCAGGTGCGACTGTCCGCAGCGCAGGTCCGGCTGCGAGCGTGGGTGTCACGCCGTGACGCCTGCGGTCCCCGTGTTCGTCCGTGGGCGTCTGGCCGTCATCGAGGGAGCGGCGAGCACCTGTGCAGCTGCAGCTGCTGTCCCGTCACGCGTCCAGACCGCAGGCTTCTCCTTGACCGTCTGGCAGAGTGGCAGCAGTGGCACTGCCCCCTTCCCTTCTGCTTTTCGTTTAGAAAGTTTCAAATATGCACCAGCAGAGAAGACGATTAACCACCCACACTGTGACCCACCACACTCTGTCATTTGCTTTATAAGTGCTCCAGTGCACATCCCCAAAATAACTTTTTTAGTATACTCTATTGATTGTGCTATTGCAGCTGTCCCGTTGTTTTCTCCCTTTTATTCCCCTCCACCCTGTATCCCCCCTCCCACCAGCATTACCCCTCATTTAGGTCATGTCCACAAGTTCTTTGTCTTCTCCATTTCCCACACTATTCTTCACCTCCCCCTATTTTGTACGTACCATTTGTGCTTCTCATTCCCTGCACCTTTTCCCCCATTCTCCTCCCTCCCCCTCCCCGCTGATAACCCTCCATGTGATCTCTATTTCTGTGCATCTCTTCCTGTTCTAGTTGTTTGCTTAGTTCAGTTTTGTTTTTGCTTTTGTTTTTACGTTCGGTGGTTGATAGTTGTGAGTTTGTTGTCATTTTACTGTTCATAGTTTTTGATCTTCTTTCTCTTAGATAAGTCCCTTTAACATTTCATATAATAAGGGCTTGGTGATAGTGAACTCCTTTAACTTGACCTTATCTGGGAAGCACTTTATCTTCCCTTCCATTCTAAATGAGAGCTTTGCTGGATAGAGTCATCTTGGATGTAGGTCCTTGCCTTTCATGACTTGGAATACTTCTTTCCAGCCCCTTCTTGCCTGCAAGGTCTCTATTGAGAAATCAGCTGACAGTCTGATGGGAACTCCTTTGTAGGTGACTGTCTCCTTATCTCTTGCTGCTTCTAGGATTCTCTCTTTATATTTAATCTTGGGTAACTTAATGATGGTGTGCCTTGGTGTGTTCTTCTTTGGGTCCAACTTCTTTGGGACCCTCTGAGCTTCCTGGATTTCCTGGAAATCTATTTCCTTCGCCAGATTGGGTAGGTCCCATAGTCCCCGTGGTGACTATGGCACCCCTATGATTCAGATGTGGGAACGTTTAAAGTTGTCCTGGAGGTTCCTAAGCTTCTCATTTTTTTAAATTCTTGTTTTTTCATTCTGTTCTGGTTGAATGTTTATTTCTTCCTTCTGGTCCACACCGTTGATTCGAGTCCCCATTTCCTACCCTTCACTGTTGGCTCCCTGTACATTTTCCTTTATTTCACTTTTCATAGGCTTCATTTCTTCGACTGTTTTGTAACCACACTCGTCCATTTCTGTGAGCACTCTAGTTCCCTGTATTTTGAACTCTGCATCTGTTAGGTTGGCTATCTCCTCATTGCTTAGTTCTTTTTCTGGAGTTTTGATGTTTTGCAATTTGGGCCATATTTCTTTGTCTTGGCATACTTGTTACATTGTAAGGGGTGGAACCCTAGGTATTCATCAGGGTGGGGCAACCCAGGTCACTGCATTGTGGCACCGCCTGTCGAGGAGGGGTCAGAGCAGGAACAGTGCTGCTTGCTTGGCCCTCAGCAGCTTTCAGTCACTTCTGCCGCCACCCACCAGTGAACTGCACCCTTCCACCTGCTGCCCTGGCGCTGATTCCCGGGTGGATGGGCTCGTATATGTTCTAGGATCCCGGGGGCTGCTCCAGCGGACTCTCCTGAGAGACTAGGAGTTTCTCCCGCCTCCACGGCCCCCACAGGTTTTTACAAGCAGAGGTTTTGAGGCTTCGTTGCCCTGCGCTGGAGCCCTGGGTTGCGCGGTCTGTCTCGCTCCCCAGTTGTTCCTCCGTTTATCTGCAGGCGAACGTGGGACCGCCCGCCCCGCCAGCTGCTTTGGCCGCGCACCCTCTCCGCCCGGCTGCCCATGTCCGCCCTCCCACCGGTCTGGACGAGTGTTCCTTACGTCCCTCATTGTCGGACCTCACACGGCTCAGTGTCCTGGCAGTTCTGGTTGTTTTTGTTCTTAAATTGTCTGTGGTCCTTTTGGTTGTGTGAGGAGGCAACGCCATCTGCCTGTGCCTCCATCTTGACTGGAAGCCTCCCCAAAGTAACTTTTAAAAACATCAGCGCACCCCCGGAAAGCTCTCCAGCAGCCGTTCCGGGACGTGCCCCCGGTGCCGCCGCAGAGGCTGTGGGGTCGAGCCGCGGTCCCGCTGCCGCCCGTCCTCGGGTCCCTCCCACCTCGTCCCACGGTCAGGCTCCCGCGTCAGCTTCCTGGCCTGGAAACGTGCTCGATTTCGTCGTCACGGGGCTTCTTCAGGAGCGCGGGGTCACCTCCTGGTGACGGCCCGTGACGGTCAGGTAGCCGCAGGCTGCAGGGGCGGCCTGTTCGTGCCGCCGGCTCTCCGTGGCCGGCTGGGGCCCTCCTTTAGCGGACAGTGTCCTGGGAAGCAGGGGCTGCTCTCGCCCTCTCTGCATCTTCCAACATTGCACTTACTTGTTTTTGGAGACCGGGGGAGGGAGGGAGGAGGAGGGAGGGAGAAACGTCGGTTGGTTGCCAACCTGCAGCCCAGGGAGGTGCCCTGACCAGGAGTCAGAGCAGCGGCCTGTCGCTCTGCGGGACGATGCAGCGCCCACTGGGGCTCACGGGCAGGGCTCCAGCTCCGTGTGTGGCGGGAAGACACAGCAAGGGACTGACATGTGATCGGGGGCTGGCCGCTCACATCCTGCTGTTGGGCTGCCGAGCGCAGGCCGTGGGACAGCCGGGGGGCGGGGGGTCAGGGCTCAGCTCGGTGCAGCCCCGGGCTCACAGCTGGGTTCCAGCCCGCGTCTCCGGGCTCGTGGCTGAGTTCTGGCCTCCGCCAGCGGTGGGACACTTCAGGGTTGGAGTGGTGGGTCTCTGGGACCACTGGTCATCCTGCCCGTCTGGGAAGGGGGCGGCACCCTGGCGGTTGTGTGGGTGGAGGGATGCGACCGAGGGCCCCGTGCCCATTCCTGCCCCACTGCTCCCCACCTCGGGGCTGCTGGGTCTGGTCTGCCTCGGGGGTCAGGGCCACGTGGCCTCGCTGCCTGCCTGGCCAGAGGGTGCGGGCTGCCTCAGTGTGGCCGCCTCAGCGCTGGCTGCGAGTGAGGAAGCCACCGCCGCAGTGCTCTCTGTCCGCGTGGGAGTGTGCTCGCAAAGCCAAGCCAGAGGGAGCAGCAGCAGAACAGTCACCGTCTGAGAAATCAAAAGCCACCACTGGGTGAGAAGCCTCACTTCTTGGTGTCTCAAAAAATGATGGCTTCTTTTTTCCCCTTTTTTATGAGTTTTAAAAATATTTAAAGGGGAACAGAGAGAGCGAAACATCTGTGTGTGAGAGAGACGATGATAGGTTGTCTTTTGCACATGCCCCCCACTGGGGACCTGGCTTGCAACCCAGGCATGTGCCCAGACTTGGATTTGAACCAGCGACCTTTTGGTTTTCAGGCCAGCGCTTTGAAGCCACGTGTTAGACCCCACCTGGCTTCTTTCTGGGACTGTCGGTCTCTCTGTTGCAGCACTTCTGCCTGAACTGGTGCAAGCAGCCAGACATGGGCCTCCCCAAGCCAGACCTGGTCATGTTCCTGCACCTGCAGTTGGAGGAGGCCGTGACGCGCGGTGAGTTCGGCCTCGAGCGCTACGAGAACAGGGACTTCCAGAAGCGGGTGCTGGAGCGCTTCCACCAGCTCATAGGGGACAGGACCCTGAACTGGAAGGTGAGCGGAGCCCACGAAGCCAGGGCTGCAGTGGGAGCGCGGGGCGGCCTTAGTAATGGGGCGAGTCCTAATCCTCGGTGGCTTTTCCCGGAGTGGGAACAAGGTGCCTTGTAGGTGGGTCCGGCAGCAGCTCGACAGAGACCAGCCGCACAGCAGCAGGCCCCCCGCTGGGCCCTTTCCGGAGCCAGTTCCCCAGGGGGCCCCACCCTCCACTGGGCCTCCGCCTCCGTGCGACCTTGTCACCCGGGACGGGAGGTCTCCGAGTCACTGAAGCGTCGTCCTGTAGCCTGTGGTCTGTTGAGCACGTCCCCGCTCCAGACCCTCCTCCTGCGCAGTTCGAACCCAGGGCATGGACACACCACCTGGCGGGGGGGCCACCCGTTTCCCTTTTGTGCGTGCTGAGCCATCGGTCCTGGCGGGGGTGAGCCGGCTCCGGAGTCGGGCAGCCCCACCGGGCTGCAGTGGTTCCCCTTCAGAGCACGCCCCACCCCTGCGAGGAGCCAGGCCGGAAAGGAGACGAGTAGGGAGTGAATCCGGAAACAAAGCGTTTCCTCCCGACCCGGGTGGTGCTCGTCTGTCCTTCCGGGTCTTCGTCGCCTTTCATCTCCTTGGCCGCAAGCAGTGCCTGGTCTCGCAGGGCAGGTCTGGAGGGAGCCCTTCACACGCCCACCGCCAGGCCGCGAGCAGGGCTGGGCTCTGAGCGGGTCTGCGTCCCCGGGAGCCTTCCCAGAGCTCTTCGTGGCCAAGACCTAGGTCGATGGCGAGAGGGGGCTGCAGTCCCCGTATCGCCCTCCCGGTGGAGACGAGTTTCTCGTGGGCTGGCTCCCTTCCTAGCGACCAAGGCCCCGTGCTTTCTGCGTCAGGGCGCAGCGCGTGACGCGTGAACTCTGTGGCGGAGGAGGTGCGGGAGTGGGGCCTGGCAGGCACCGCCCACTCTGCCTCATCCAGGCCTAAGCTCCCTGCTTGGGTTGGGAAAGGCCCCGGGGGGCTGCCCGGTGCCTCTCCAGGGCCCGATCAGTCGGGGATCCCCGAGTGCACCGAGGACGGTGAAAAGTGCTGATCCTTCTCTTTTCCCCGGTCACCTCCGTGGGAGCAGATGGTCAACGCTTCCAGGAGCATCGAAGACGTCCACAAGGAGATCCGCACGCTGTCCGAGGAGGCCATCCGGGCCACGGCCCAGAAGCCGCTGGAGGAGCTGTGGATGTAGGCCTGGAGGGACTGCCCCCCGGGTCCTGTGGGACGGGGGCCGTGTCGAAGTCTAAATGCGTGGGCCGGGTGTCCGAGCTGCACTACGGGGGGGCAGGGCTACAAGCCACGGCGAGCACAGGTCAGCCTCGAGAGCGGTGGGCACAGGGGCCCCGTGGTCAGCCCCGCCGCCCTCCTCTGCCCTCTCACCCCAGGGTGCTAGTGAACGAGTGCGGTTCTCGCCGCAGCTCCGCGAGAACCGCATCCGGACGGATCTCGGAAGAGGCCGTCAGTTTGAGAGGGGAGTTTCTTGCGGACACAAATAAAAACCAATAGCAAGTGCGTGTGGAAGGCCTCACTGGATTTCCTCTCTGCAGCACCCGGTCTGGGTTCCCGCGGGGTCTGAGCCTCGTCCGGGCTCCTGGCGCCCTGTGTGCTGGCCCAGCCCGGCCAGCTGGGTCCCTAGGGTGTAAGCCCTGTTTCATCTGAACGTGGCTGTTAGCTTTGCTGACCTTTTTGTTGTGTCTGAATGCAGGAGTGTGCCCTCACTCCATCCCATCCTCGCCGGCTCTGAGATGGGCTGGTGCCTGTCTGTTCCTGGGAGAACCACCGGAGCCGCACTGGGAGCCTCAGTGCCCTCCCCCCACAGCCCGGACACCGACTTCCGGGCAGAAAACGCCGTGTGACACTTGCTTAAAGCCCGAGTTGTAAGTGGGCACACACACCTGCGTGTGGCCAGAAGGGTCCTGCACAGCGGCAGCAGCCAGGCCCAGCTCCCCAGACCAGGCTCGGTCCATGCTTGTCCAGGCTCCCCAGAAAGGCTGGCTGCCATGTCCCCGCCACTCAGCAGGTGGGTGTGGGCAGGATGGGCCCCGGCTGCCTGGCCCTCTCTCCTGGTCCCTGCTGTCTGCTGACGGGTGGGGGCAGGCTCGAGGAGCAGCAGTCAGGAGCTGCGCACGGGCTTGACCTTTCTTTTCGGGGTCCCAGGGTTACCCACAGGGATGGCCTGGCGACACTCCGGTCACTCGATGCCTGACTTTACATAATTCCGTCTGTAATGAAAAGGAAACTGGGATGACTTCTTAAGAAGACCTGACACCAGTCGCTCGCCTGCCTGTGTGGGCTGAGCCGGGCCGGTGCCTCTCGAGGGGCCGCAGCTGTTGGGAGGGTGCTGTCTGGGTCCAGGCTGTGCCCCAAGCACCCAGCCTGGCCAGGGCAAGAGCTGAGAGCAGACCCCTCTGAGCTGGGAGGGGCCAGAGCCGGGCAGGACTTTCTCTGGCCTGGATCAGGTGCTGGGGGCAAGGCGGAGGCCGCAGCACAGATACCCCCCACCCCCCCACCCCCCACCGCCGCAGGGCTGTGGGGTCAGAGGTGGGCCAGCTCAGAGGTGGGAGCTGGGCAGAGTCCCACACCACACGTGTGGTCATACCACCCAGCCAGGGCCACGGCAGCAGGTGTGGCTGAACAGCTGTGTGCCCCTGAGCACCGCAGAGAGGCCGGAATAATGGCCCCGAAGACATCCATGTCCTTGTCTCCAGAACTGGCGAATGGCACCTGCACAGCAAAGGGACCATGAGGCAGGCGGCCATCCTGGGCTGTCCGGGAAGGGTCTCCAACGGAGAGAGGGTGGCGGCCGAGGAGCTGGCAGAGGCAGGAGGAACCTGCCCTGCCCACGTCTTGGTTTGACCTCTGCCCTCCGGACCCTGACAGTGTCTTGCTAGAAGCCACTGGGTGTGCAGATGTCCCAGCAGGCGCCAACAGCACTTCCCAGAGGCGGTGCCTCAGGTTCCCAGGCCACTGCCCCCGGGGACCACAGGCATGTGTCCTGCTTTCTCATCTGGCTGTGGTCCCCTCCCCTCACACCGACACCTGAGGGCGGGCCAGGTCTGGGGCACAGTGAGGGGACTGGCTGAGGTACCCCCCTCGTTTTCCTGAGCCCAGTTTCCATGCACCTTTTGCTTTAGCACCACAGGTCAATGCCACAGCGGGCTGGGCTGGGCTGGGCTGTGGCCAGCGGCTCTGCCTGCCCGGTGTGAGGGGGACAGGCTGCCAGAACCCACAGCTCCTCACTGGGACTCGGGGCGTGAGCTCAGAGGATGCCCACTCGTCCGATCATGCAGGACCAGCCTGAGCAAAAGTCGAGACACAGAGACGAGACTGTTTTCTATTGAAACTTATTATTCGCCTCAACCTCAAACTAAGGACGGACAACACTGTCTCCAGTGAGCCTTTTCAAACCACTCGGCTCCCCTTTGGTCAGGCTGTCACCCCTTCCAGCGCTCGCACCCCCCCAGGGGCTGCAGCGAGAGCTCCTGGCCCTGCGGGCTGGGCCGCGCCTTTGCAAGATGCAGCTGGAGGAACGGAGACCACCCAGCCTCCCTCCGGCCTCAGGGGCAGAGGGGGAGAAAGGGAGGGCAAAATAACTTACATCAACAGTGCCCGGGGGCCGGGGTGTCCTCGGCTACCAGGTGGGACCCGCCCACTGTCTCTACACGTGCCGACACCGAGGGCGGGAGGGGCTCCGCAAGGATGGCCCCCGAGTAGAAGACTGCCCCGCCCCCCGAGCCCCCAGGTCCCGGGTCCCACGGAGACCACTCTCCAGGACACGAATTCTGCGTGGGAGCCACACGCTCTGGGCCCGACAGCTGGGTTCAGGGCGGCAGGTGCTGCTGTCTGTCAGTGCTGCGAAGAGTCTGGAAGTGTGTCCAGGTGGCGTGACGAGAGATGGGGTGCCTGCCCTGCACCGCGAGCAGGATTCGCTCCCTAGCCCCAAACCATCTGAAGCCTCAGGGACCAGGAGGGCAGTTCTGCGACCCTTGAAGTCCATGTGAGCCTGGAGGTCGCAGGTGAAGGCAGCTCCCCACCCAGCCGCCAACACCGCCCACCCAGGGGGAGGTGGCGTGACAAGCAAGCGATGGTGCGTGGAAGTCTCAAAATGCCGGAACCAGGAGGCAGTGAGGAAGGTGAGCCCACTCGGGCTTTACCTGCAGCTGGGTCGAGCCACACGTGGGGGGGCGCCTCTGCGCGGCACCAGGCCCCACCCTCTGCTGCTTCTCGCCCCAGAGCCCGGAGAAGCCAGGTCACCCTTCTCGCACTGGGCAGCCCTGGAGGAGCCGTGGGCGGGGCTGCTGGCGGAGGGCGCGCAGGCCCAGTCCCAGGGCCGCGCCTCCCTCGGCCTCCATCCAGTCTTCCTGGACCCAGGACAGGCCCAACAGAAATGCGTGTCTGTCGAGTGACTTCAAACAGGACTTTAATTCCAAAGCTAACCCAGACCGAGAGGCTGCAGGAAGCAGGGTGGAGGCGACGCAGATGCTCCGCGACCGGCCGCTCGCTGCTCCCAGCGGCTCCTGCTCTCCCCCGGGCCGGGCCGTCCCTCCCGCGGGGAGGTCTTGAGCACAGTGCGGCCCCGTCGAGGGCAGAGGCGGCGGGCACGGGCGGCGGGCAGGATGGATAAAAGGCGGTGGCACTGGGCACCCAGAGGCTGGGCTGAGCTCTTGAAGGCGCCTCCAGCAAGAACCAGTCGAGACATCCCCCAACTCCAGGATTTTCAAAGGGACAGGATTTCAAAGTCCTCGTCTTCTGAGTCAAAGAATCTCTCAAGTCGCTCCACGTCAGAAGAATCTGGAAGAAAAAGACAAGGGGCTGCTCTGGGTGTGGCGTGCGGCAAGCAGCTGTGAGTGCACCGACCACACCTGCTGGCCCGCTGGCCCCAGGGCTGGCCCTGGCCGGGGGGCGGGGGGCAGGGGGCAGACGGCAAGAGGACCCCAGGCTGCCCAGGGGAGGGTGGCCTCCAGGTCTGCGCCAGCCAGGTGCTCCACTAGGGCTCTTTCCCCGAGAGGAGGCAGAGCACACACACCTCCAGCCACAGCCCAGGGGCACCTGACGCGGCTGAGGGCGAGGGCCACCAGTCCCAACAGGGGCGCTGGTCTCCATGACAACCCCTGGCCCCCACGTGGTCTCCGGCAGGCAGCCGGCTCTGGCGTCGCCCCCTCGGGCTCTTCCAAGAGAGAAGCCACAACGGGCAGCTCCATCGTCGGCGTCCCCAGCGCAGACTCCGCCCGGGTCCTCACAGGGCCCTTCCCCGAGCGGACGGCGCGCTCTCCACGTGCCACGCGCTTGTTCGGTGGGGGTGGGGGGTCTGTTCGAGGAGGCCTCTGGGCCCAGAGCCACGTGGGGTGGGAGGCAGAGCCCGCCTGTGGCCGCGGTGGCCCAGACGGGGACAGGCTCCCACGAGAGCCCGGCATATTCTGGGTCACACGGAACCTGGGGACCCGTGAGGAGCAAGCCCAGATCCCTGTGCCTGGGGCCCGGGGACCACACGTGGGGGGCAGCACGAGGGGACACTCGGCAGTGTCCCCGGTCCCACGTCACAGGCACAAATCACCAAGCGCCCGCATCTGGGGTTCGTACAGTCTTAGAGGTCAAAACCAAGGGGACAGGGTGTGGGGGGAGCGAGGGGAGGAGACCAGAAACAGCAGACGACACCCGAGCGGGGAATAGGCGGTGCCCGGCGTTCACCCGACAGCTGGTCCTGCGGCCGGGGACTCACCCAAGGACAGGTTCAGGACGTCGGGGCAGGCCAGGTGGGAAGGCTGCTGCTCCACCAGCTCAAACATGGGCAGGGCACCTCCAAGCAGCGACAGCTGTCGGGAACACACAGCTGCTGGAGGCGGTCCGCGGGGCGCAGCCTCCCACCCCGCCCCCAAGGGCCCCCGTGCGCAGGAGAATGCTGACGAGGCGGAGGCGAGGCTTGCAGCCCAGGCCGAGCCGTCCACAGGCAGCCCCCCCCACCCCCGTGTGGAGGCAGCCCTGAGGGCACCCTCGCCGCCCGCCTCTGTCACCCGAGGCTGATGGACGAGGAGACGCACCCTGACCTTCCCGAACAGCGTCGGTCCCCACACCCTCTGATCGCCGTGGAGAAGCGGCAACCACACGAGGGCCACGGGATGCGGTGGGGGGACACGTGGGGGGACAGGTGACGCCCCGGGGACCCTGTCCGCGCAGGCGGGGAGCCACCACCCACCTTCCTGACCTGCTGGCACCAGTCCCCGAAGTCGTCCTCCGTTGCGCAGAAGAAGCCCTGGAAGGAGACCCGCGGTGAGCGCCGGGGAGCGGGCTCCCCCCCCCCCCCCGCACCACTGCCAGGCCGGACAGTCCGCGTGCTCCCTCCTCCAGCCCCCACCCGTGCCCACGGGCTCCGTCAGCGGCTCGCAGCCCGGCCCTCTGGCCCTCTGGCCCAGGTAACGGAGGCTGTGGCCCCGGGCCGGGACGGCAGGCTCAGGACTTGTCCCTGAGCAGCTCAGCAGCGAAGGAGACCGGGGCCAGGTGCCCCCAAGCTCCCGGGTCGCCAGGGCCAGGGGACAACGGGGGGGGGGGGGCAGGGGGCGCACCACGGCGATGGATGGGTCCAGCTCCCCGATGCCCATCCTGCTGGGCGGGTGCCGGCAGTGGAAGCTCTCGTCCGGGATGGAGCGGCTGTCGGTGAACTCCACCGCCGGCTGCGTCGTGTGGGGGTCCAGGTAGATGAGCTCCTCACCTGGGCCGGCGACACGGAAGTCAGAGGATCGGGAGTGCGGGGGGGGCCGGGGGGTACACTTCGGACCCGCCCCTCCACAACCCAGCCGTAGGACGCCAGGATGGGGGCCTGGGGGACGCCGTGGGGGGAAGGCGGGGTGGGATGCGCTGGCACTGGGCAGAGCTGCCTTCAGGTGTGGGGGAGGGGGCGACCTCGAAGACCACGCCCCCTCCCTGGGCTTCCGGCAACCCGGCCATCCCCGGGTGCCCGCCACTCACCCACGTAGCCGATGAAGTAGTGGGCGCTGTTGGGCTTCCCTCCGATCACTCCCAGGGACTGAGGCATCATGAAGCAGCCCTGTGGGGGGGGAGGGGCGGGGGGCTGCTGCGCACGTGGGAGCAGGGGCCCGCTCCCCTGCACTTGGCCTGAGCGGGAGAAGGAGCCCCGCCAGCTCGGTGGTCAGGAAGGGGGACGGGCACCACGCGCCGTGCGCTCAGCTCCATGCCGGAGGCCGGCTGCGGGCAGCGGCCACGGGGGCCCTGGGAGCGGGGAGGCCGGCACACCGAGATCCGGGGTTGGGTTGACTCCACAGAGCGCAGCAACCGGAGGCGGGAGGCAAGGGGAGGGGAGGGCGCGGGGCCGGCGGGAGGGGCGGTCAGAGGCTCAGGACGGGGCCACGCCGGTGACGTGGGAGGGCTTTAACGCAGACCCGTTTCGGTCCCCTCACCTTCAGCGTCTCCACGTAGGCCTCGTTGATGTCCGTGAGCCCCAGGCGCAGGGGGATGAGGAGCACCAGGGGCCTCCACGGGGACGGCCTGGGGGCGACCTCAGCCCGCGGAGGGAAGCCGTTGCAGTGCCCTTGGGAATCCGCCGGGAACGCAGCGGCCCCTGCGCAGGGCAGACTGCTCCTGCACAGCCTCCCTGGGGAGGGGAGAGGGGCCTCGGTGGGCTGGGCAGGGGCAGGTCCCAGCCCGCCCACCAGGAACAGGCGCTCGAGCGGGGCACCCACACGCCAGGGGCTCGCGACATGCTCGGACGTGGGGAACGCAGCGGGAGACTGACCCTGCCGCCCGCAGAGAGTGGGGGCCGGACGTTTCCCATGCACGCTCACGCGAACGTCTCGTGCGAAGTGACACACGCACAGAAAACACTCCAGGACACACACGTGCACCTCAGAGAGGTCCCCCCGACAGGCGCCATGCGGCCCCCGGCCTGGCCAGACACAGCCCCAACCAGGTCCCCAAACTCCTGTGACCCCCCCCCCCAAGCAAGAACACCGAGGAGTGACGGCTCCTTTAAACGTTTGCGCAGCTTGCCTCTAAGGGCACTGGGAGACCTTCACACACGTGAGCCAGGGAACTGGTGGCAGGAGGAGGAGACACACCTGTGGCCAGAGCACAGGTGGCAACCAGCCTGGCGTCTCCACACCGCTCCCCCCGAAGGGGGCGGGGCTCCGCGGGGACGGACGGACGGAGCCGAGGTGGGAAAGGGACGGCGTGGGACAGCCAGGGTCCAGCCGTGCCCAGAAGGGGCAACGCACAGCGCCAGGCCAAGCAGGAGACCAAGGGCTGCCTGAGGCAAACCCCATGCAGACCCTGCTCAGACCCCCCACAGCAGTCTGGGGAGCCAGAGCCATGGCCCCACCGGGGACCGGGGACCGGGGGCCGCCTCCCACAGCGAACTGGGACCCAGCCACCAGGCCGTGCCTGGGTCCAGGTGCTCGGTCCATACGTAACCCTGAGGAACTGAGACGGGACGTGGGACACCCTACTGAGCTGGCCTGGGCTCTTCAAAAACGCCAGCGCTGGGAAGAGCCAGGGAAACAAAACAGAGCTTGCGGGCTAAAGGGGACCACAGAGGCCCGGCCCGCCGGGCTCCGGAGGGCGGCAGAGGCCTGCGAGGGTCGGCGGGAGTGGCTCAGCCTGCGGCTGGGGGCCCTGGCCGTGGGGGTCACACGGAGCGCCCTGAGCCGGCGCGCCCAGGCTGAGGCTGGGCGGAGGGCCGGAGAAAGGAAGTGCTGGGGGCGAGGCTTTCCCCTTTTTAAAGACCCTCTGGCTGCCGAACCTTTCTGCGATGCTGTGGTTTACAAGGAAACACACAGGGTCTGAAACACGTAATGAGTAACGCCCCTTCCCCTACAAACCCTTCTATTACAAAATCCTAAGCACGTAATTCTGTAACATGTCACACTCATGCGCACACCGTGTGACACTGTAGGTGAAACGTTCAAAAGAAAACTGAAGTGTCCCCAACAGCACCCCGACACGTGCAGGCGTCCCCGAGGCCTGTGCGGGGTGCTGCTCTGCCTCGCACGGCAGGCACAGAGCCTTCCGGGGGCCTCGGGGCCTCCTGTCGTTAACGAGAGGGCTGAGGAGCCCTGAGCCCTGCCTGGGGAGCAGCTGACGGAGCTGAACCGCCAAAGGCCGATGGTTCCATCGGTCACCGCTACGTCACGCAGCCGACAGAAGCCCGGACGAGGGGTCCAGGGAGCCTCAGGGGTGAGGGGCAGACACGTGGAGACCCCGGGAGAGAGGCGGCAGGGCAGGGCGGCTCCCCCGTCTGGCAGTCCCTGAGCTGCATCCTGTACGGGGAGCCTGTGATCTCGGGAGCAGCACGCTTCGCTAGGTTGTGCGGGCTGCCCTGGCACACAGCCCGAGGCGGGACCTCACTCCAACTCACAGCATCGGGTCAGAAGCCCAGGTTCCGTCTGACGTGGGGAGGGGTGCAGCCTTGCAGGTAGAGCCCCTAACCTGTGGGGTCCGAGGCCGCCCTCAGGTAGCTGGCGTCAGCTGGGTGGCGGCAGCAGGGGAGCCCACACATCGGAACTGGGGTCCACAGCTCACCTTCGCACTCGGGAACACAGACTCCTGCGCGTCCTCCCCGTCCCCGGGCACCTGCGGTCTCCCTCCGCCCCTGCCGCTGCCGTCCCCGCTGCCGCTCTGCTGGGCTCCCCCCGTCCACCCCGCGTCCCCCTCCCAGCCTGGAGGTGTCCGCGCATCTCCTCCACTCCCACTCTCCACCATCCGGCGCCAGGCGGGTGCAGGTTTCCCCCGAGTTCAGGAGGCGTCGAAGCGTGATCTCCGTTTCGGTCTGCTGGCCTGACCTCCTGCCACCCCAAAACCGAGGTCTGAAACCTGCAGGGAGTCCGGTTGTCCTTCCTGGCTGCTCTGCACTCGGCTCACACGCACGCGCTCTGCGCGGCACTCCAGCGCGGGCTCGCTCTGCCCCAGAGTCCTCCAGGCGTGACGAGGCGCATCCGTCACACTCTCCCCTGTGCTGCGGCTTTGGTTCTCCCTCCCGCAGCTCAGCGCGCCCCCCGCCCCGTGTGAGGCACCAGCGTCTCTGCATCTCCCGAGCTTGAGGCTGTGCCAGGAGAACATCTGCCTGCCGACCGGCCGACTGTCTTTCCCCGTCTCTCGGGAACCACCAGCCTTGCGGGCCGGCTGGAAACGGGCCGAGCCGGGCCGCTGCCCGGGACTCACAAGCCAGCAGGCAGCCTGGGGTGTCACAGTGGTCCTGCTGCCAGCAAACGGGCTCGCCCGTGTCCCAGGTTCCCATCTGTAACTGCCCAGGGCTCCCTTAACATTTTCAACTTACTCACTTAGACTCTTTTTCTTCCCGTGACAAGTGAACAGTACGTTCCCTTTCCTGACCCCTGACCCCAGGTCTCAGACTTCTGGGCACAGTCTGGCGGCGGAAGGCGAGGCTGCAGTGAGCAGCCTCCCTGCGCGAGCAGGTTATCCTCACGCTGCCGCTGGATGCTCGCAGAAGTTTCTCTTCCTTCCTGCAGTGTGGAAACGCCCCCAGGAACACGTGTGTTTCACACACGCCTGACGGCTAACACTCGGGGTTCTGCAGACTCACGTCTCCCTCCACCTCTGCTCAGATGCTGCACTGTGCCCGCCCCACAACTGCCGCTGCTCCGCTCCTGCTCCTGCTCCCGCGGTCGGCCCCACGCACACCCGTCTGGACCACACCGGGGCTCGGTCTGCGCCGTGGCCAGACGGCCTTCTTCCAGCTGCGACGTCTCCCTGGACCCCGGGAGCCCCAGCCACCTGCTGTGCTCTCATGGGCTGACTCGACCCGCACTCAGCGCTGTCAGGGCCGGCGCTGGGCGCCCTGGCGGGCCCTCAGAGGACGAGGGGTGGGCGGGTGCACGGGGTCCCCTCGCCTGGCAGGCTTCCTCTAACATCTGAACGGGGACACTCAGCCACCTCTCCCCTTGAGAGGGGCTGGTGAGACTTGTGACACCAGCGAGCGTCTCTCAGAAGGCGGCACTGTTTCTCCACCCCCTGCTCCGCAGCCCCCGGGCCCCCCTCCCCCGCCTGCGGCCCGCCGGCTCGGAGCCAGGCACCAGACAAGCAGCCAGCCCGTCCCCGTCCCGCTGCAGCCCAGGCCCTCCTCTCCAGGGCGCCCGTGGCCAGGAGCAGGCAGCACCCGCTGCTCAGAGTCGCCTCTGCTCCCTCCGCGGCTGAACTGTCCCGGGGGGAGGGGGGGGGGGCGCGAGACGGGGCCCTGGCCATGGCCTGGGAGCCTGTCAGAGATGCAGGCCAGGCCCTCCCCAGAGCCAGACCCCCGAGCTCCTCTGACGAGCCCAGGGTCGTGTCTCCTCGCAGCTCCCGCACCACCAACCTCAACAACTGCGACCCCAGGAGAGGCCCGAGAGGGCCCCCCGCCCCCCTGCAAGGGACGGAGGCTCTGGGAAGCTGCGTGTCTCCTGCCCCTTCCTGGCCACTGCCCCAGGGCCAGCAGCCAGCGGTCTGAGGCCGGGTAGGACTAGACCCTGGAGTCGGCGAGGCGGACCCCCCGGCGCTGCGAGGGAGGGAGGGAACTGTGGCGACGGAGCGCCGTGCGGCCAGGCTGAGAGACACGGCGACGTTCTCACCGACAGGGGACGACGCCACGGTGCCGCGTGTTTTCTGAGGGAAACCCCCGAGGAAGGAAGGGTGTGTGAAGGGCAGTGTGGGCTGCTTCTGAGCAGTAACATCGAGCGAGTTCCCCCTTCTTTGCATTTCCGAACTTTCCCGGGCTTCAAAGACATTTCCAGAAGCAGAACGAGAGGAGGCAGAAGGAAGGGCAGCCTTCTGTCACGCCCCCAGCTTGCCCCCCCGCCCCGGGGAGACAGCACTGCTCGGGGGCGAGGGCGCTGCCAGGGCCCTCGGAGCCGCAGAAGCCAGGGCCGCTTTTTGCTAAGAAGCCACACCCCTGGCTCCCCAACCCCGACAGCACCCCCGGAGCGGGGCCCCAGCGCCCGGTGGGGAAGCAACACCCCCGTGCGCCAACATGCACACTCGTGGCCGCACGCCATGCCGGTGGCCGCACGGGCAACACTTGCTTCTACACAACCCTGTGCGCCCAGTTCCTTCAGGTTTCCAGGGGATCCTTCCGGAAAGGGGCACAGCTGCGTCCCTGCTCCATGCTGTAGTACCTCAGCCCGAGAGGGTGGCGTTGGGAGGTTGTCCCTGTGCACCACGCCCATGAGCGCAACTCAGCAAGGACAAAAACCGCACGGGGTGCCCAGCAACCCCGCTCTGCAGAAAGCCCGGGCCCCTCCCTGTCACCTGGTCCTCTCTGTGAGGAGAGCTGGGGCCCCCGGCCTCTGCTCGGGGGGCCCGGCTGTCGGGCAGACTCCCAGGCAGGGCGCTGGGAGCCCGGCCGGGGCGAGTGCTCAGTGGCCACTCCCGAGTCCCGTCCATCCTGACCCTGCTTTCCCGCACTTACTGATGTCTTCCATCACCACCGTGTTGTCCATGGCTACGTGGACGGCCAGGGCGCTCCACGTGTCGAAGACAGCGAGCTTCCTGCCAGAAGGGGGAGGACACACGCATGAGCGTTCACGGTGCGCGGGGTCTGCTCTGCAGCACACCATGGGGGGCGGGGGGGGAGGACCGAGGCCTAGAGGCGTCAGTGCCACAGGCAGGGACAAAGCCGAGGCGGGGACCTGTCCCCCGCCGGGGCCCAATGCCCCTTCCAGGACCCCCGTGTCCCCGCAGAGAGGGGTCTCTGCACAGCAGTCGCTTGGTGGCGCTGCGGCCTGAAGGCAGGCAGAGGCGGGAACCAGAACACGGGTGGGGCTGCAGACCGCGGGCTCCCCAGCGCAGGCAGGCCCAGCCCCAGCCCCAGCCCCGCGCTCTGTGCCCCGCGCTCTGTGCCCCCCCCACTCTGTGCCCCCAGCTCTGTGCCCCCCGCGCTCTGTGCCCCGCACTCTGTGCCCCCCGCGCCCTGTGCCCCCCCGCTCTGTGCCCCCCACGCTGTGCCCCCCGTTCTGTGCCCCCCGCCCTGTGCCCCCCCACTCTGTGCTCCCCGTTCTGTGCCCCCCGTTCTGTGCCCCCCACACTGTGCCCCCCGCTCTGTGCCCTGCGCCCTGTGCCCCGCGGCCCCCGGACACGCTGAGCTGAGGCCCCAGCTGTGAATGCCCGAGGAGCGGCAGTCCCGGACCTCCGGCTCTGGAAGGAGCGCGGGTTCTGCCACCAGAAGCACAACAGGGGTGGGAGCCTGTGGGCGGCTCTGGGGTGTAGGGGAGGTGGGCTCCCCACAGAGGGAGGCCCTGCTGGGCCTAGGGACACAGTGAGGAATGTTGGGGTGACCACACAGAGCCCCACTGGGGGAAGGCCAGGCAGGATACCAGGGGAGCACCTTCAGGGCCACCCGGCCGCCTGCTGCCCACCCCGAGGGCCGGGTGCCACGCGGAGACACACTGGCCCATGATAGACAGAGCCCTGCGGGAGGCTGACGTTCGGGGCGGGGGGGGGGGGGGCGGGCGAAGGGCCCAAGGCGCCGTGTGCCAGGAGGTGCACAAGGCAGCCGGCCGCACCCGCCATCACTGGGGAAGCTGGGGCATGCGGAGAAGAGGAAAGGGTGGCCGACTTCTAAGCGTGAAGATGACTCCCGCTGCTGTTGAAAAGGCACCCCGGGGCGGCACAGAGAAGGGAGACCCTCAAGGAGGCGAGGGGTGGGGCCCGGACCCGGGCGAGGCCCGTGAGGCGAGGCACGCCACGCAGCCGTGTCGGGAGAGCAGGGTCAGCTCGGTCCCAGGGTCCGGCCTGCAAGCTGGGAGGAGGGGCCGCCCCCACTGTGGGAGGAGCAAGCAGGCTGGGTGGGGGCGGGTCTGCCCTGCGTCCAGGCTTTTCAGCTGACCAGCTCCCTGGACGTTCAAGATACTAGGTGAGTGTCTCGGTGCGACAAGTCAGCCCTGATTCACGACTCTGGGAGCTGAGAGGGAGTCACCAACTGCAAAAGCCGGGCGTGGACAGCGCAAAGGGAAGTGGCCACAGGCCCGAGACAACGCCCGCAGTGCCTGCAGGTGGGAAGGGGGTGCGGCAACAGACGCAAGGTGGTGGCAGGGGGACAAAGGGCTGGAGAGCGTGGCTCTGGGGCCCAGGTTTCCAAGGACAGCACGTGCCTGTGCCGAGAGCTCCTGCCTGGTGGCTGAGTGGGGACAGAAACTCGGCCTCCAGACAGGACAGGGTTGACAGCGACCTTGATGCAGCTGCTCTGGGCAGCACGGGGGAGGAAAGCAGGAAGTGAGTCATGCACGACGGAAGACCTCACGCAGGCCCCACAGGCAGACACGCACACGGGCCCTGCTTCCAAGGCAGGCAGTGCCAGGCCCGGGCCCTACAGGGCAGGCGGGGACGCTGCGTCAAGCCAGGGCTGGGCACGGGGACAGAGAAACAGTGGCAGGCCTGGGGACCCACCGGAAGTGGGACGTGTACGAGGAAGAGTGTACGGGAGGACGGCAATCAGCCCAACGAGGGCGGCTGGGCAGGGAGGCAACCACCCCCGGGGACGGGTGAGAAGGGCCATCCCAGGAGGTCACCTCTGGGTGCCTGCGGGAGTGCCCTGTGGGGACCGGGAGCAGACAGGCAGGGGACGGGGGCCTAGGCGGGAGGCTGAGGTTTCGAGGAGGGGGAGGCGGCCAGGACAGGGCAGAGCCCCACAGCGCCTGCAGAGGGGCAGCCCTCCCCGACCGTCGACCCCCAGCTGCTGCGCCGGGTGGGCCCACCCACCGACAAAGAACAACGGCTCCAGCCGATGGGCGCACCCCATTGTGGGTGCGGGTATTCATCCTACAGGAAATCTAGGTTCCGATTTGCAAGACCACGTGGATGGTCGCTGCTGAGGACCCTCCCGCGGCCCTGCAGCGCCAGGCCTGGGGTCTGAGCACGTCCACCCCACCTTGTTCCCACAGACACGGGGCGGGGGGCACAAGGTCGCACGTACTTGAGAACCTGGGCAACCGTGTTGGGCCCGTACCACTGGCCGATGGACTTGCCCTCGCCAACTCCCATTTGCGCTGCAGGGAACAGATTCGGTTAGCGGCACGCACGTCCCGACCCCGACACCCTCCCCAGCCTCTCACAAGAGGCGGGTCCCAGTGGCAGGAGGACCAGGAAGCCCAGACAGGCCGGCCCAACTCTGCCCCTGGCCTGCGCCGACGGACACCAGGCTGCCTGCTCCAGAGGGACACGCGAGGCCTCAGGGTCTGCCCTGCACCACGACTCCAGGACTGAGTGGCCAGGGCTCCAGCCACTCGGTGGGGAGCGGGGCTGAGAAGCAAGGGGACTCGCTGAAGTCAGAGCCATGTTTCTACCTCCCCCCATGCCCGGGAACGGGGTGCTCGTCACAAGCTGGACCTGCCTCAGCGAGGGAGCAGCGCAACCCCCTGCCCGAGTCCAACCCGCAGAGGCCGGGAGGAGCAGCCGGGCCACCCTGGGGCCCGGGGTGGGGGCAGGCCTCCTGCCGCGTACACACAGGACACAGGGAAGCTCTCGGGACACCTGAGACCGGCCGCCCTCGTGACAGCAGGGACCCCGCCCCGCCCCGCCCGCCCACCTATCTGGTGGATGGAGTAGTGACTGTCCTTCCGGTCGATGAACGCGTTGAGGACGTGGAAGTAGCTGTCCGGCTGCCTCTTCCGCTGCGCCCACCTCCAGTCTAGCGGAGACAGGGCAGAAGCGCGGTTTTGCCCGATGGGACAGAGCCGCCCGCGCACTGTGGACACTCGCGACGCAGAAAGCACCCCCGCTGCTCTGAGCCTGGCTCAGGTTCAAACCCAGGCTCCCCAGGACTCCAAAGATGCCAACACAAATCCATGCAAGAGGCAAACAACGGCTTCAGAGCTTTAAAGAGAACTTCCGACAAACAGGTGCCAGCGTTCTTTAAAGCCACTCCTGTGAGTCGCTGGAAGCCAGCAGGTCGCTGAAGCAGACCGACCCCTCACCTCCGTCTGACCCCACCCCACCCCCGTCCCCGGCGTGACTCACCTCGGCCCAGGTGCCGGCACAGCAGGGCCTGGGCGAAGATCATCTGTCCGCAGCGGAGCATGCAGCCCCAGCCCGTGTCCGAGGTGGGGCCGGTGCCCCCTGTGGTGGTGGCAGAGAGAGTGGGCTCACCGTCAGGGGGTGGAAGAGACCAGACCACGCTGGTCACCCCGAGTGGCAGGCGTCAGTGCCGTCTCGGCCACGCCCACCCCCTAGCGCCCGGTGGTGCGGAGGACCCACCGCGGGAAGTTGAGATGTCCCGACAGCCCTCCCCAGTGGGCAGACCCCGTGGACGAGCCACAGAGAAGCACGGTGTCTGGAAACCACGAGCAGACCCTGCGCCTGCGAGTCCTCGGGCACGCAGACCACGGCGCAGGGTCAGCGCCGCGAGGGGGAGGGGCTCGGGGGCAGCAGGGAAGGCGCGCCTGCCCTCAGCCTGTCCGCGGTCCATTCACCCGCCAGCACCAGACTCCGACCCTGGGCTCGTGGCAGCACGCGCACGGTGACACAGGCCCACGCACACAGGAAGTGCCCTGAGGTCCTCAGCAGCACCAAGGCCCGGGCCCGCCGGCAGGGACCCAGCAGACTCGGGCAGGTGCTCAGCATGGCGCCCGTCACCCCCACCCCACCCACCAACCAGCCACGTCCGGGCGGAGGGAGGAAACGCCGCGCTGGCCTGCAGGGCCGGGAGCCCCCCATTCCCCGACGGCGGTGCCAGGCCACGCGGGGCTCCCGGGCAGCCCGTCCCCCTTCCCTGCACGCAGACGCCGGCCTGCAGGACGGCGCCGTCCCCGCCGGCACCGCGCAGCACACCGCAACCGCACCCCGCCCCCAGGGCCGAGCAGAGCGGCCTCGGAGCAGGTGTGCAACCAGAGCAGGGTGCACCTGACAGGTCACACACTTCGAGAGGCACCCCAGGGGACACTGGCCTGGTCCCCCCGTCTCAGTGTCCTGAAGACGCGCTGGAGGTGCTTCGTGCCCCCCGCCCCACTTCGGGAGAACACAGGAACCGAACCGAGACGAGACCAGGCGAGGAGGCAAAGCCCCCGGGCCCAAACTCCGGTCTCCGGTGCTCCGGCTGCAAAGGCCAGGCCAGGCCGGCCCCCAACGCCTGTCCTCCTCCGGGCACAAGGAGGGAGCAGCACTTCCAGTGGAACGTACCTGAGTGCCACCCGCCCTGTCCGACGGCTCGCCCACAGCCCAGCGTGGACACACGGGAGAAGACGGGGGGCAGAGCCCTGCGGCCTGCAGCCCCCCGGACCCGCGCCCCGGACCCAGGACAACGCTCAGACACAGAAGCCAGCGAGAGCCCCCGAAGCGCCTCGCCACTCCACGGCCACGGTCTTCCACGCTGGCACTGCCAGCCGTGGCCGACCCCGATCTCAGGCCCACGGCGGAACGGTGACTTGTGATTGGGGAAGCGCTGCCAGGAGCCCCCGGTGCCCCAGAGCGTGGGCAGGGCCTCGGCAGCCTGGCCCCCAGGGGCTGCCGGGAGCTCGGGCACGAAGGGACCAGTGCTGGGCACACCCGAGTCAACCTGCCAGCCCCCCTAAAACGTGCCCGTTCCCCTGCACGCCGCGACAAACAGGACTCACCGATGGCTGGGAAGTTCTTCCGGTACGTAAACCACAGTCTAGACGCCACGTCGGATAAGATCTCATCCTTTTCTAGAAAACGTTCAAGAGAAAAACCACACACACACAGCCTGAAGCACCACAGCGCGGGCCCCAGAAACTTAGCAGGCGACTGCCACCCCCACCCCACGGTCCGGGAGCCCGAGCGCCGGAGGGCGGCCGCTCCCGCACGCCGGTACCTGTGAACACGCTGTACTTCCTGCCCAGTATCCAAACGGGCTCCGAGGTCTCCGGGAAATCTTCAAACTCGGCAAATCGGAGTGTGTCATAGGTCAGAGTAGCTGTTGAAATTAGAGACACACATCGATCGAATTTTTATAATTTCGTGAAATAGCATCGCGATCATTTACTGCACCTCTGTTTTAAAAAATTGCGCGACTCGGGGTCACCCAACAACCGCAACTGACGGACCCCACGGCCCGACCCGGCGGCGCTCGGGGAGAGGTGGGGACCAGGCTGCCAGGCCTGCCCCTCCGCCGCCTACGCCTTCCGGACTCCGGCCAGAGTCAGTGCCGCAGACCCCGGGTGGGAAACCACTGGGGGCCAGGCCCGGGGGGAAAGTGAACACAAAAACAAAGCCACCTCTTTAAACACCCGCTTTACCACTACAGTGTTTAAACCCAAAGGGCTTTAAAGTAGAACGAAACCCCACCTCCAGCCTGGGTGCCGGGTGCCAGGCTGGCGGAGGTGGACTGGGGGGGGGGAGTTGGTGGGGGGGAGGCTTCCACCCCCATCCCGGGTTCACCAGGCCATGCCGGGGCGCTGGCCCAGAGCCGTGATGCAGGGAGACGCTTCCGGGGCAAGGAACCCCAGCCCTCCCGGACACTGGGGGCTCCAGGCCTCCACAGGCCCTTGGGAGGGAGCAGGTAGCTGCAGGGGGCAGGGCACAGACTCCCGGGTGGGGCGTGAGGCCCCAGAAACGGAGAGGACCCTGCCCTCCCCCGAAGGTCCGGGTGCCGAAGGCAGGGAGCCCAGGCTCCTGCTCGTCGGCGAGGCCGCCGGACGGGCGCGGGCGCAGCCGCGGGCGCAGCCCCCACCGGCAGCACCCCCTTTCACAGGAAGCGCGCGGAACGTGGGGTCTAGCCGCCCCACTGCCACGCTGACGAGGCGTGAGCCCCGCCTTCCTTCCAGGGTCCCTCCAGCCCCGGGGCCCCGGCCGAGGGGGCGCGGCCTGGCACCGAGCCCCCCACCTGCGAGGCGGGTGCGCCAAGTGCACTTCGGCGCCCCGTCCCTGCAGCTGCGCCTCAGAGAACCCCGACACTGGACGAGTTTCTCCCAGATCTTTTTGTTTAGATCATTTTCTTAAGATTTTATTTGTTTTATTTGTAGAGACAGGGGAAGGGAGGAGGAAAGAGATAGAGACATCAATGTGTGGTCGCCTCTCGTGCGCCCCCTACTGGGGACCTGACCCAGAACCCAGCCACGTGTCCTGACTGGGAATCAAACTGGAGACCCTTCGGTTCGCAGGCCCGCGGCTCAGTCCACTGACCCGCACCAGCCAGGTCTCCCAGATCTTAACTTACTTTTTTTGACAATAGCTCCACCTTTTGGTAAAAATGATATATGCTATTTATTCTTTTTTAAAAAGGAAAGAAAAAAAGAGAGAGAAGAGAAGGAAAGAGGAAGGAGAAAGGGAAGGAAAAACCTACAGAAATGCTGTGGGAAGTCGCCTGCAGCCTCACACCCAGCCAGGCCCATCCCTCCGGGCGTCTCTCTGCACAGGCCTGCGAAGGGGCCGCAGCACACCTGGGGCTGCTTTCCTCGCCTCTTCCTCGCCACGCGACGGCCGGTCCCCAGAATCACAGCTCCCTCGAGGCCTCCTGTCTCACCAGGTACACGCGGCATGAGTGCCCACGCCACAGGGGACTCCAGGCCCTGCTGGGTGGGCCTGATGCCGGCCAGCACCCTGCTGGTCCTTCCGTGCTGGGCACAGCCCCAGGAGGCGGCAGGGCGGAGTGCTGGCGCCAGGCGCTCACAGGCTGCAGGCTCCCGAGCCACTCGCGGTGCCTCTGGGGTGGCGAACAACAGGCTGTCCTCACCTCAGGCCACACAGGGACCCTCCCCAGGCCGCAGAGGGCTCCAAGGTCGGCGGTGTCACGGGGTGGGAACTACAGCCCTAAAGGGAAGTACTCTGCTCCACCAGAACCGGAACCAGCGCACAGCAGAGCCCCCGTCACAGGCCGGGAGAGCAGCGTGCGGACCCGCCGGGTCCTCGGCCACGGAGGCTGGCCCGCGTGACTCGGGGTTCTCAGGCCGGGGGGACCCAGCCCCAGCTCCGCCTTCCCGGGGTCCCAGGAGCCCTGCGCTTCCAGAGCAACCCCCGCTGCCCAGAGGGCCCCGCAGGACAGCAGACCGGGACCTCACGGCTCCACCTCGCCTGTCTCTGGGCTCTGTGTCCACGGTCAGGGCCGACCAGGCTGCTCGGGGGCGGGAACAACGACGTGACGCAAACGCACAGTGTGACGTCAGTGTGACACACGTCTGCCCTCCTGCACAAGGCCGCCTGTCTCTGCACGTGGCCGTGGGAGCTGAGCCGGGGTGAACGACAAGTCCGTCTCCTCAAGGAGCCGACGACACTCCCTGCCTGCCCGCGCCGTCCCCGCGGCACCCCACACCCCAGCCCCAGCCCCCGCCGCCTTCCGAGGCACACAGCCTCCAGGCACAGCGTCCTCTCGAGGAGGAGGAGGGTGCTGACGACACCTGTCTGACCCCCGCCGACCACACCCCTCGCCTGCTGGGGCTGGGACACCCCCCTGGCGCCCGGGGCCTCCCGAGAGGCAGCGGCTACGTGCCTCCAAGGCACGGGCGAGCGCCGGGCTCCCGGGCGAAGAGCTCCCCTGTGGCCGCTGGCACACGTCCGAGGGCCACAGCGTCACAATGCCCTGGCGCGTCTGCGGGGTCACTCTGGCCCCTGAGACACTCCTCGGAGAGCTAGCTTCCCCCACGAGGAAAATGAGGGGAAGGGAGGGAAAGGCTCCTTCCGAAAGGGGGGTGACAGGGGACAAGGCCTGAGCAGCTCTGAAGTTGCGGGGTCCGCCACAAGTTGTGGGGTGTTGCATTTTGGCAAAGTGCAGAGCGAGCGCATTCCTTAGGGTTGTCAGCAGCACTACAGGCACCCGAGCCCACTTCAGAGAGACGGCAGCGGCAGGTGTTCCGCGAAGCTTGACCACGTCACCGGGTGTCCCGCCCCAACTAAGAAAATTACAGGCTGCGTGGCTTCAGACTCTTGACCGCGGGGGGCCAAACGCCAGCCAGCAGACCAGGCGCTCACAGGGCGTGAGGCTCAAACCGCTCTCGGGGGAGCAGTGTGGACGGGCGCGGCGCCCGGCGGGGGTCTGGAGCCTCTCCGCCCCCATGCGCAACACTTCAGGCCTCGTGGGGCCTCTGCCTGCCTCCCCGAGACGGCCTGCTCATTTCCGTCCACGGCCCCATTACAACGTCACCCTCTTTCCACACAATGTCACGTTGTTTATGAAGCCGCCCCATACCTCCCTGGGTCAAGGGCTCCAACCTGGAAATGAGCACCAGGCTCTAGACCCCCCGGCCTCGACCTGAGTCTGAAAGGAGACGGCACGCAGGAGAAGCCAGGTGCAGAGGCATCGCCCAGCGCACGCAAGAGGCCCTTTGGGGAGCACCTTCCCCTCTGGTCCCCAGAGTGCCAGACACCTGACCTTCCACATCTTCCCGGGATACGCCTGGTCACGCCCGGAAAAGGACGCGGACAGCCCTTTATTAGCATGGTGACTCCATCAGAAAACAGCTCGACCTAACTTCATTAATCTGACAGAAAAACGGGTCCTTGTGCTCATGCAGTGCAACCGGCTTCTCTGCCCTCGGCACCACCCCACTGTCGCTTGCCCAGGGAGAAGCACGGGACACCCAGCCACTGGGTTTCCCGAGAGCTCATCGCGCCGCATCAGGGGTACTTCCCCCAACACCTCTGCATTCTGAAGGATCACCCTTCGTAAATAAAATCAAAAGGAGGGGCCTCCCTTTCCTTTAGAAGATGCTTCTTTTCTTTTTTGAAGGTTTTAATTTATTCTTAGAAAGAGGGGTGGGGAGAGAAACTTTGATGTGAGAGAGAAACATCCATCGGTTGCCTCCTGCGTGTGCCCCAACCAGGGACCGGACCCGAAACCCAGGTGTGTGCCCTGACTGGGCATCAAACTGGCAAACTTTTGCTTTGCGAGACAACGTCCAACCCACTGAGCCACATTGGTCAGGGTCAGAAAACACTTCTTTAGAATAACAGGTTTGTAAGCAGCTATTTTTTAAAACTCCAAATACTGCGCTGGCTGGTGTGGCTCAATGGACTGAGCACTGGCCTGAGACGCCACCAAGGGTCGCTGGTTCAATTCCCGGTCAGGGCACGAGCCCGGGTTGCAGGTCGCCAGTGGGGGGCGTGTGAGAGGCAACCACACACGGATGTTTCTCTCCCTTTATCCCTCCCTTCCCCTCTCTCTAAAAATAAATAAAAACTTTAAAACCCCAAATACTTCATATAAAGATGCTGGTGGTGGACTTCTGAACTTGAAGAAAAAGGAAGGGAGGGAGGGAAGACAAGGAACAGAACCGGGAACTTGAGTGACCCCAGGAGACCAGCAAACATTGCTTCAAGGGCCACAGGGGCCAGGCCCCCACGGTAACCCTCCCTGCGCAGCCCAAGCAGCGCTTCTCACTTGCCGGCACCGGGTGCCGGCGGACCCGGCTTGTGCTACACACAGACTCTGCGACCGAAGTGCTTACCAGACAGGAACACACACGCTGTTCCTCAAGTTCTGCTCCTCCGGCCACCAACCGCCAACCACGTACACGGCAAGACGCACCGTGACGCACCGGAGACGCGAGCAGAAGGGCCACGCTGGCTTCGAGGAACAGAGAGCGTGGCCACCGAAGTGCCGGGCCTGCCAGGTCCTCGCACCGGGGGTGAGCTCCGACGGCAGTGGGGGAAGCTGGGGCAGACGACAGGCAGCCTGCCGCCTGCCGCCGCCGCCTTTCGGAGTCCCGCGCCGCTCCTCCCTGGTTCCCTCTTTGCCCCCACACTCAGGCCCTCGGGGGCCTCACCGGAAGTGGCCTTCTGCACACTTGAATGTCCAGGCCAGGTCTACGCCCTTCGTTCCAGCCCGTGGACCCAGGGCTCCGCAGACATCACGATGTGAATGTCCGACAGGCACCTCACAGCAACACGCACAAACCGGCTCCCGACGGCTCCCCACCACGCAGGACACCCCCCAAGTGTCCCCGTGCCATTTCTGACCTCAGGCCACACACCACAGCACCGTCTCCGCTCCTCCCCTCCAGCCACACCCCTCACCACGTCCGGTGCACACACAACCCTATCGTCTGGACCGGCAGGACACCCAGAATTCAGCCTCCTCTCCCGACCCTGACCCGGCCATCCAGCCGCTCACCTGGCTCACCTCAACAGCCTCCTGGCTGGCCTCCTGCTGCTGCCCTGCCTCTCCTTAGCACGTTTTCAAAAGAGCAGCCAGAGCGAGGCTGCCACGCACACCTACGTTCTCGTCACGCCTCCTGTCGAGCCTTGCAGAGGGTCACCATCTCCTTCGGGACAGACACGCACCTAAGTCCAGGACCCGGCGAGGCCCCATGCTCGGGCCCACGGCACCGCTCGGCCTCCAGCCCCCGCTTCCCCCAGCCCCCCGCCGCACCCTGGCCGCACTGCCTGCTCGCTGCTGCTCGAGCACCGCACGCCCTCCCTCCTGCACTGCTCCGGGGCTCAGTCAGACGCGCCTCTGCAGTGAGACCCTCCTGGGCACACTGGCTCCGAGCTCAAGCACGCCCCGGCCAGGCCCACGTCACTTTCGCGTGGCACGTGCCACCGGTGTCACGCCTGGAATGTCAGGCAGGGCATGGTTTTGGTCTCTTTTGTTCACTTCTCTGGTCCCAGGGTCTAGAACAATGCCCCACACAAACCTCCCGCACAATAACAACTGTCGTTTACAGAACGGATGACTAGGAAAACAATCAGGAATCTCGTGACACTTGGCCGAGGAAGGCAGACTCCGTAAGGGCTGTGGGGGTCAGGGCAGGGCCACCAGTCACCCCTGCAAAGACGTGTCCGGTCAGAGGAAGACGCCCCACCACACCCTGCAGACGCTGCATGCGCTTTTATCAGCATCGGCCCAGGCCTCCAAACGCAAACGCTGTATCACGTGTCTGCTCCTAACTTTAACGAGACAATTTTCACATCTGAGATAATAGGACCGACATTAAACTGTTTTCCACCTTAACCAAGTCTCTCACGTGAATGACTTTTGGTATCTAGCAGTAATAACCTAAAAGAAAGTGGAAAAAAATGAAAGAAAGTGACCAAGCAAATAATGCTATTCCTTCACTACCCCATGCCCCAGCAAACGGTTCAAAAGTGATTGATACTTTTTATTTTTCAAACGAACTTCACAGAAAATAGGTGTGGTTAACAGGATGAGAGTCAGGGCTAATGTTTCTTCCAGCCACCCAACATTCAAGGGAAAAATGCCACAGATCTTTGAAATACATCTACTTTACAGTTCCCAAACTGAGATTTAAGGAAATACATGTTACAGCTGCCAGGAAAAGCAAAGCAAAGCAGAAACGATGTGACAGGTGGAATCAACCCAGATGAAAGTCGTCTTTGCGGGGCGGGGTGGCACTTGAAGGCAAGGCACTCCCCACGGAAACGGAAGAATTAAAACTGCTGTGGGATGAAAAAAAGCGCGGGGGTAGAAATGCTTTCCAGGCTACTGGACAAAGATTCAAAATACCTTGCCAGCAAAAATTAAGGAGCAGAAGCATGATGAGCCAGCCAGGAACACCACATACACGTATGTTCGCGTACGTACACGCCCCTACTCTGCATTAGAACGCCAAGAAGTTAAGACAGGCGATGGCTTCACATTCTACCTTCCATCACAGAAAAAGTCGTCTATTGCTTACTGAATAAAAACCAAAACAAGGTGCGGTGTAGAGTACTGCTTCTCGCCTCCAGCCTACCAACCTAACTTCAAAAAGTTAAACAGTCCCAGCGGGGCGGCGGCAATAGCTTCCCAAGACCGCCGTTTCAGGACCCAGCTCCGCCCGAGCCCCTGGCGGCGACCAGCCCCTCCCTACCACCCCCGAGGCCGCGCTGCCCCTTCTTGTCCGAGCCGGCCTTGGGCAAGCCGGGGCGGTCACCTGGGCGCTGCAGCGGACTGGACAAGCGCCGAGACCCGCAAACACGGGACTGTCAGATCCAAAGCGGCCTCCCCACGGACACAGCCCCTGCCCGTTCCACCCGGGGCCGCAAGTCGCCCACCCGCCTCCCCGCGCCCAGGCCGCTCGGGGAGAGTCCCCAGCGCCCGAGGTACCCGGCGAGCCCCTTCCGCGGATCCCTGACGCCCCGGCAGGCCCTTACCTGCGTCCATCTTCCCTCTCCGGCCGCCCACTGAGCGCCTTGTCGCTCCGACGGGGCCGCAGCGCGACGCGACGCGCTGCCACCAAGGCCAATCAGGGGCGCGGGCGGAGCCGGAAGTGCGCGCGACAGTGCGTCGGTCGCCATTTTGACGTACGGCGGGGCCGGACAAGAAGGATCGGACTCGCGCTGTCCGCACCCCAGCGGCCTCCGGCGCGCATCACGAAAACCCCAGCAGCGACCCGCCGGAGCGGCGAAAGCAGGCGAAGGCGTTCAGCGAAGCCTTGGAGCGAACGCGTCAGGCCGCCCGGATCCCGGACCCGCCGGCGCGGCCATCTTGCCGTACGGACGGGATCAGCGCGCCATGTCTCCGTACAGAGCGGCCTGCCCGGGGGCCCCTGCCCACCCGCGACGCCACTCGCGGCGGGCAGCGCCCCGCCGGGTGCCTGCAACCACGGGCGCGCCGGAGGCCGACGGCGGCCCGCGGGCGGCGGAGAGGTGGGCGCCGCCATCTTGCCGTACGGCGCCGCAGGGGCCGGCTCCCACGTCCCGCAGCCGTGTCGCCGCGCGCCTCCCCTCGGGGCGGTCCCGCTCCGGGCTCGGCGCGACGAGGCAAGGGCCGGAGCCTGGTGGCGGCGCGGCGGCCCGAGGCCCGAGATGGTGATCTGCTGCGCGGCCGCGAACTGCTCCAATCGGCAGGGCAAAGGCGAGAAGCGTGCCGTCTCCTTCCACAGGTAACCGGGCCCAGCCCTCCGCCTGCTCGGCCCGGCCACGCCCCCGCCCGGCCCGGCCCCGCGCCGGGGAAACTGAGGCCGCGCGGCCCGGCCCAAGGGGGCACTTTCCGCGCCGGGCCTCGGGGCCGGTCTTACGAGTGAGTCAGCGCTGGGCGCTGTGTGACCTTGGCCGGGGCCGCCGTCTCTGGGCCAGACGCCTCGGTCACCGCGGCCGGCGGTGCTCACTTCGCGGCCACCGCACGGCCACCAGCGCCCGCCGGGTTCCACCCCGAAGCCAGCGGCACCCATCCTTCGCGCACCCTTCGGCCCCTTGGCCGCCACCCCGCGGCCGACCGGAGGCCATTCCCCAGCCACCTGGCGACCACCCCGTGGCCTCACCTCCCTCGCCCCTACTCCGCGGCCGCCGCACTCCATTGATTCGGGGTGGCGCCGCCGGTTTCCAGAAGCGGTGTATTCCGGAAACCTCTTTCTTGGGTCAGTTGTCCTCTGCGGTGGCTGTGGCTTATCTGCCGGTTTGATCGCGGAGCAGGCTGCTTTGATCTTTGCCTTCGGGAATGTGGCGAAGCAAACGCGTCTTATACCTTGTGGGTTAACACGCGCCGCAGGCGCGCTGTTTCTGGAAGGGTCCCCGGTGCGGGGACGAAAAGGTAGCTGTGTCCCGCCGGTGAGGCGAGTACCTGCAGGGCCCCGACCGCCTCCTGCTCTGCAGCGGCGGCGCTTCCTGGCCGGCTCCCCCTCGAGGCTGTGGGGCGCTTGGCCCTGCCGAGGGTCTCCGTCCGCCGGCCCGTCCAGAGGCCTCTGGAGCCCGCACAGGCGCAGGAAGCCCCGCCAGAGTGAACTGAAGAGTGTTAGTGTTTCGTTTTGAAGGACCCGAGGAACAGCGTTACTTACGGTCTTAACTAAGAGTTTGCTGCGGTGCACGCAGTCTTCCGTTGTTACTCTCTATCCACAGTAATGCTAGATTGTTTTGAAGCAGCCCTGTGCCTTCCTCCCAGTTTCCTTCAGAGCCTCTGGTCCTTCACGTTTTGTTTCTGTTTCGAAAATGAGGCGCAGCCCTGCAGAGGAGGCTGCTGTTGGCATTCATAACTGTCTAACCTGGTGTGGGGGCAAAGCTGTGGGAACTGAGCGCCTTCAGGAAGTTTAGAAGGTCGCGTCCAGGAGGACTTCCTGAACCGTGAGGTTCTGCCCCAGGTCCTGGTCCACGGCCCTCAGGTGTGTTGCCAACCTCGGCTGACCTTGGAGGGAGCAAATGGCCCCATGGAGCCCAGTGTGGTCAGGGTTTTCTCAGTGCAGGTCTTGCCTAAATGAGAAGGGATTAGGAAGTGTCTTACTCAGTGTCTTCTTGGGACTGGGAATGTAATAGGAGCCCAAAACTGCCCCCCTGAGAACTGGTCTCCCATCCTCCCGTTGCGTGAGTCACTGCTAGGGCCACACAGAGCTTCTGGGGTGCTCTGGGGACCGCTGGCTCCCGCCTCTGATGGCCGACACCTGGTCTGGCTTCTCAACAGGGAGGCCAGCCGTCTCACCTTCAGCACCCAGAGTCGTTCATCTCGGGCATGCCTGCAGGGTGTCTTGGCTGCGACCTTCTAGGAACTGCTCCTGGGGCTTCCTGGAGCTTTTCCTGCTGTCTAGACGCCGCCCCGCACCTCTCTGAGCACTCTGGAGGGAGATGCCTACCTCCATTCCTGTCTGCCCTGCGGCTGGAAGCTCCTCCAGAGCAAACAGCAGGTCTTCCACCTTCCCGCTCTGGCGGTAGCTTGCAACACACTGCATTCCTGCAGTGCGTACCAGATTCTTAAATGGGTAAAGTTGATGCAGGTTTGGGTGTTTACAAAAACACTTGTCTTGGTTTTACAGTTGATCGTTTTAGGGGGGGACACGCGATTCTTTCTTTCTAATTGCCTCGTCTGTTGTCCTGCAGGTTTCCCCTGAAGGACTCAAAGCGTCTGATCCAGTGGTTAAAAGCTGTTCAGAGGGATAACTGGACGCCCACTAAGTATTCTTTCCTCTGCAGCGAACACTTCACCAAAGACAGTTTCTCCAAGAGGCTGGAGGATCAGCACCGCCTGCTCAAGCCCACAGCCGTGCCCTCCATCTTCCACCTGACTGAGAAGAAGAGGGGGTCGGGGGGCCATGGCCGCAGCCGGAGAAAGGACGCCAGGAAGGCCTCGGGGGGCCTGAGGGGACACGCGGGAGACGCCAGTGGGCAGGCAGCGGCGGGTTCCCCGTCGTCCCTGGGTGAGAGCCCGACGGCCAAGTCAGAGTCCCGCCCGTCGAAGCGGGCCGCCCCGCAGGGCGCAGCCGCCGGTCCGGAGCGGGCACGGCTGGCCACGCAGGGACCTCCAGGCCACGCTCTGGCCACAACAGCGCCGGGCAGCCGGGCAGAAGCAAGTGGGCCGCCATGCGGCGCTGGCGGCGAGCGCGGCACCACCCCCGATGAGGGCCTGGCGGACAGAAGTGGCGTTTCCATGGATGACTTCTCCCCCCCGGGGTCCGGGGCCTGCAAGTTCATCGGCTCGCTTCACTCGTACAGTTTCTCCTCCAGGCACACGCGCGAGAGGCCGCCCGTGCCCCGGGAGCCCGTGGACCGGAAGAGGCCGAAGAGGGACATGGAGCCTGGCTGCAGCGGGACCAGCCTGGGGCCCGACAAGGGCTTGGCCCAGAGCCCCCCGAGTTCGTCTCTGACGGCGACGCCCCAGAAACCCTCCCAGAGCCCCTCCGCGCCCCCAACAGACGTCACCCCGAAGCCGGCTGCGGAGGCCGTGCAGAGCGAGCACAGCGACGCCAGCCCCATGTCCATCAACGAGGTCATCCTGTCGGCGTCCGGGGCCTGCAAGCTCATCGACTCACTGCACTCTTACTGCTTCTCGGCGCGGCAGAACCGCAGCCGGGCGTGCTGCCTGCGGGAGCAGGTGGAGAAGAAGAACGGAGAGCTCCGGAGCCTGCGACAGCGCGTCAGCCGCTCGGACAGCCAGGTGCGCAAGCTGCAGGAGAAGCTGGACGAGCTGCAGAGAGGGAGTGCGCCGCGCCCCAGCGGCCTGCCGGCCCCCGGCCGCGGTCAGTACCTGCCCCGGGCTCCCACTGCCCGTTCCCGAGGGGTCTTGCTCTGCGGGGGCTCTGGAAGCAACTGGACCCTGTAGGCAGGGCCCAGGTCAGACAGGTGACCCCAGCAGCCAGGGGGCCTCTTTCTGTGGGGTCAGCTGCTCAGTGATGGGCCCCCGGTACTTAGTTTTCGCCTTGGACGGGGTAGGGTCAGCATCCGCTGCGTGCCTCCCAGCCTGGACTCCAGGTGGGTGAGGGTCTGCGTGGGAAGTCAGACAGAAAACTGTTGGGAGACCCAGAGTCACGGGGACAGTCTTTCAACTCCTGCTTTCGCAAATACCCTTGGAGTTGAGTCACTTTGAACATTAGAAATCACAAGACTTTAAACATCGCGTCAAGTAGAATACACTCTGTAAAAGTTAAAGCACTACAGAAACATACAGGTGAAAATTCCCTCCTCCCCCGCTCCCAACTTTTATGCCTCTTGATGCTGAAATTTGGTGTGTGATCTTGTGGTTTTCTCTGCTGTATCCCGCATGTCTTCGTGCCTATACAAACAGGTTGGGGATATTTTCATGTGTTTATTGGCTTTTTTTCCTGCTTTCCCCCCTTTTACTGTCTAACACTTATGATAGTTGGTTTCTAGGTATTGAGAATGGGGTTTTTTCTTCTTTTAATCCTCAACCAAGGACGTTTTTTCATTGCTTTTAGAGAGAGCGGAAGGGAGAGAGAGAAAAATTGACATGAGAGAAACATTGATTGGTTGCCTCCTATACACGCCTGAACTGGGTATCAGAGCCACAGCCTTTCGGTTCTGGGACGGTGCTCCCGCCAGCTGAGCCACCGGGCCGCGGCGAGGAGAGCAGCGTTTGCCTGTTACAGACAGGTGAACAGGTGAAAGACGTTTCTCGGCCACGACATGCATTCAGTCTGCATCAGCTTGTCTTTGGGGATGTGACTGACACTTTGGGGGGGAGAGGCTCTCGCACGGCAGGCCGCCCAGGGCCACAGCTCAGCCCCGAGCCGTCCTGTGCGTCTCCAGACGCACCCTCAGGGCGGAGCCGCCGCAGGTGAGCTCCACTGATGTCCAGGCCAGAGTGACCCACTGGCCTCTCCTGTCCCTTTTAAGCTGTTTTTTGTAGTTTCTTGATGTACTTTTGGTCACTTTTTCTGTTCCTCTTGGTCAGGGGTCCCAAAGCTAGTCACTATTGCAGGTCTTTCCAGACAGCCATCCAAACTTCCACTCCGTGGGTCAGGTCTGCGTTGTTCTTTCTGCCT